TTCGCCCATAGCAACAATCAATGCAACCGCCAAAAGAGTGGTTTCGTCAACCATCGACACCACTACGTGCACGTGCAATTTGTTACCGTCCCGTTCTGTGTCAGCTCCAGAGAGTGGGGGTAGCTCCCATATGAAAGTAATGGGGATGCAAATTTTGGTCTCACTTAGAGTGATAATTTTAACCCCTAAACGTATCGCTCAGGGTTGTGTGTAGAGAAGGAACTTAACATATAAAACACAAATGCCTTCATATTGTGTAGGAGTATCGTCACATCAAGCCTGAACCACATCTAAACTGGTCTCCTTTGGGATCTAACTCAAAACCTCTGATGAGCATCCCCGGCTCATCCAAATGGGAGTACCCCCCTCCCCCCTCCCACCCCGGCCTCAGCTCACCTTCTCACAAAAAAAAAAAAAACAGTTAAAGTACAGACAAACACGTGAAGGTTTGTCCTGACTGAGAAAACAAAAACTTACATATTCATCAAAAACCTCCAACTTTTAACTACGATTGAACATTTTCATCGTAGTTCAGGTTTTCCATCTTTAAAAGCATCAGCTAAAGAGAAAGACTTCATTCAAGACTTCTAATTCTATCATTCTAATGACCCATTAATGTTTAAAAATAAAAGGTCATTCAATTTGAAGTCTTTTGTTTTCACTTTCTGGCGTAAGATTCAATCATTTGGTTTCAATCGTCTTTCATATCTGAAATTTAAAGGTTGAGAAGGACATTTTGAATAGAAGACCTTTAAATATAATATGGGGTTTTCTTGCATTGCTGTATCATTCCCGTGTGACGTTTAGGTAGAGCGACTTCACTTTATTACGCACAGATTGCGTCTAATCGAGTTTAAAACGACCCTGCTTCCGGAGAAAGAAGCGCGATTTGTTCCTTTATTTTTTGATTGACCTCGTATCCTCTAATTATAGCAAGCGCTAATCAGTTGTGATCTCGGTACAAACTTCTAACAGACTATAATGAAGCCTTCATAATCATAGACTTGAACTGAATAACAAAACTCGCCACTGATCATGCTTTAACTTCATCATCAGTCAAAAAGCACCATCTAACGGAATCGGGTTTGTATAACCAAGAAAATGTTACGAAAGTTCAGCAAGTTACGCTGCTAAGCTAGCCGTCTCTTGAAAAGCATGGAAGCTGTTTCTGTAGATGCTTGAAAAAAATCGACGATAACCGGGACTCCCTCGGATATCACATTAAGGGTACGGTAAGGGCACTGTGCCTACTGTCGGTTAACTATCAAGATCGAGCTAGGAGTCAGCAGGCGTCAGAAACACCGCTATCTCACAAAAATAGTTATTAAATGCGTTTCTCATGTTTTCAACGATACAAATTAAGACATATTAAGACTATGGTATGGTGATTTCGTCAAGATTTTCATTCAACGGGTTATCAACTGGTTCAATATAGAAAACAAGATCAATTTCAACCCATCTAGCGAAGAAAGACTGTTCGGCATCCTCTCGGACTTACATGAAAAGGTACTAGTAAGGAAATTCAATTATACCATGTTGTTTATGAGATACTACATCTACGCCAACAAACTACACAACAAACCAATTCTCCTCCAAGACTTCGTTGGTAAAATGATAATTAAATACAGAATTGAAAAGCTATAAAATAGACATGAAAAAAAAAAAAAAAAAAAAAAAAAAAAAAATGGTGATGGCTGTTCAAAGAAATCAGTGGTTTTGAGTGGCACTTCCCAAGAAAGTACACACGTATGTAGAAAGAAGTTTTATAGAAGTTACTGTAATTTTTTTTAACTCTGGAAATTTGCATTTTACTTTATCTTCGTGCAGAAATGAATTATTATCCATCTCCCTATCTATCTTTCAGTGACAAAGGATCTGTATAATTTCTAATTTTACACCTCGATTCTGTTAAGAGGAACATTGGATGTTATGTAAAATTTTTTCATTCCCCATGGACGATGATTTTAAAATGCTCCCCGGGAAAAGCTCATAGGGTTTTAAAGAATAGGAAATCGATATTTTTGAGATAAGTAGCGCTTTGGTGAGTGTTTACAAGCTAAGGGGGTTTAGTCAAGTATGTAATAACATATGGGATATCAAGTCAAAAACTCGAACTTATCGTCTAAAGAGGCAAGCAGCGAAAATTAGTGAATTTCCTTCAGCAAATGACGCATTGACGGAATGATAACACGTCAAAACCCTAAAATAGAAAAATTAAAATAACCCACGGAGAAAAGGTGATGCAAGAGAGGAAGGAAACCAAATACTTGAGAGAACACATAAAAATGTTCGAAAAAATTCAATTGACTTGTAAACATTGAAGTGCTCAGCAAGTCACGTGTTTAATTCAATTCAGCCGATCTACACAGCGTATTAACCCTTAACCCCTAAAATACTGCAAACAGGACAAACAGGACAAACAACGTCTGGTGGCCAACTGGGAAATATTTGCAAAGAAAAAATCAGCTCAATAAAGAATCTCATCACATAATATAATTTTATCTTTGTTGCTCGATCAGCACACTCAAAGTACGGCAGGCAGGCTCTTAGGGTACGTCTCTTAAAGAATAGGAGTTTGCAGACTGGCAGGTTTTGCTTGGTGTTACGGTGTGTGCTAATATGTATGCTGGTTGCAACCTACTCAAAAAAATCTAACAATAAGAGTTTGCAGACTCGCAGGTTTTGCTCGGTGTTACGGTATGTGCTAATATGTATGCTGGCTGCAACCGACTGAAAAAAATGAAGTTTCATATCAGACACAGACAGACACAATTCGTCTCACACATGCACTTCTCAGTTAGGGATGTAAAGGTTGTTTTTAAATGGTGAACAGATTGATGAAAGACCGGTAAATTTAAATGTTGATTGATCCAAAGTATAAAATGTCAGGATTTGATCTCACTTGCCTTAGGGTGATTCACATGACAGATGTGATTTTAATTTGACACAGAATACCTGACTCCGTAGTAGTATGGAAGTCAAATAAAATGGAACTGTGATACGATGTCACTTGAACCTCTTCTGTGGCCCAAGGCGGATTGTAAGACAAGGTTTTAAGAGATTGCTTGATAGCGGTTTAAATTAGAAAAAGTACTGCTGTACAATGATATGTGATCAATGGTGATCAATTGATTGAGATAACAGTTAAGAAAATCCCGTTTTTAATATGGGCTTGTAAAGCCTCAAAAGTGAGTTTGTCTAGCCAGCGTTAAGACATGATAAATTCACGTTAGTACGTTTCTTCGGCGAGAGCAATTCTTTTACCGTAGAGGAATGCAAATAGAACCGACACAGGTATACCAAGCTTAGTGCCAGCATGAGATATCACGTCCCGGGGATTTGTATGACATCAATAAAAATCGATTTACTAAGACTCTAGATAGTCTATAATAAAGAATGTCGGATTATAAAAACTATCTACCTGTACCTAACCTCATATATCACTTTGGAGTCAATGATTTAAGCCGAGGCACTACCTCCTGGTTATATAAGGTATTGAGGGCTTAAGATTCACCCATCAATTCCATATTACCCTTATATTCCAACATTAACATTAACCGTATACAGACTTTCTTTACTCCTATTGAAATTAACCAATTGCCGTCCTCATGCTGGATAAGAGCCTACGTATAAATCTTTTTAACTTGTGTTTTCAGTACTACTCTTAATTTGTGCGTGTCCTTCTCCTAGCTTGGGTATCCTGTGACCCTGAATTCTTTTATAAGAAAAGAAATTCAATGTTTTCAGAGATCGTAGCTACCTTAATTTACCCTGCTTTATCTGTTATCTAGGTGCTTGGTTAAGATAACACCTCTCATCCAAATTTAGCTTGAACCAAAAGGAGATTCAGATTTATGCGTTGTTAATTAAAAAAAAACCGGTGGAGAGTGAATGGCAAATGTTTATCTGTTTTAATGAAGGCACGGTAATTAAGGAAAATTTCTAATTTGAGGCAATAATCTCAGAACTTTGCACACAGACACGTAAACCTCCGAGCTCTATCCAAGCGTGTTACGCGGATAGTTAACAGTCACTGGAAGTTTCGATGGCAAATCTTGCCAAATTTGTTTCGCAATACCTTGGTGATAAATCATTTGTTGATTAGTCAATGTGAAGTGTGCTCAAATGATCAAGCTACTTCCTGAATCCTGAAAGGGCGGAAGAAACCTGTCCGACCCGTTTTTTTTTATATACCAGCAAACTCGGGCTTCCTTGTGTCAGGCGAACCTACGATCTCGCGTGCAGTTTTAACGAGGGTTGTTAAAATCTATCATCTCTTTCCTATAAATGAATTAAGCACCTGCCGTGTTCGATTGTAATTAATTCAACGCCTAATAAATAACGACCCAATGACCGTTTCTGCGCCTTTTTACGATCCAAACAACGCATGGAGAAATTAAAGAGAAAACAAAGCATGACCTCAGTTAGTTCAACTGACTCATCTGGAATTGACTTCCCATCTCATGCAAATCATTTAACAAGTTTTCAACACCAAAATAATTATATCTATTTAACAGAAGTAAAGTAAAAAAAAAAACACATTGTTCGTAAATAGCTCCGGGCAGCCGTTGCTTTTATCTGACGGGCAAGATTACTGCTAAAAGAGTCACAGATTGTGTCACCGATTCATGTGTTTATCAGTCGTATTTTAGGGACTCCTTATAACAAAACACGATAAAAAAAAATAGTGATTTGAAGAAATGCATAAGATGTATGCTTAAACTAAACATCCTGGATTAAAAGACAGTTTTTTCCAGGTTATTTTGATAAAAGCTTAACGGGACACGCGCCGTGAGATAATCAAGAATAGCAATTATGCCTGCAATTGTTGTGCGGAAACCCAAGCCTTCACTGCTGTTGTTTTTCCATCCTGCCAGTGAGTGAGTGCTGTTGACCTTTTCCTGAGCTGGGAGGATATAAATACAAATCAAAAAGAAGCTCGCCACAGGTCAGCAATCCATTTAGCTCGCGCTGTCGTTGCGTCAAGAACGCGTGTGAAGATGATTTTCATCTTCCAAAAAGTGCGTTCTTTCGCACTATACTCTCTTCTGGTGATCGCCTTTCGGCTGGGAACGCTTTTAAGGGTGTTTCCATTTTTCAAGCGTTTAATTTCTAACGCAATTGACGCGATGTTTGGGCTCAAGATGCCACAAGAAGATTACTGGGACTCGATGTTTAGTCGACAGATGCTGACGGGTTTGTGGAGATTTATTCTCCTCGACATCAACAAGAAAACCAAACAAGGGAGCAAGGCTTACAACTCCCCTCTGGTTTCATTGGACGGAAAAAACTGTTTCCGTCTCCTGGACAGTTCAAAGCAAGGTCGCCCTCTAGTAGTCAACTTTGGAAGCTCGAGCTGACGTCCGTTTGTGGCGAAGTTACATGATTTCGGGGAAATTGTTCGCGATTTTTCTGACGTCGCAGACTTCGTAATTGTATACATAGAAGAGGCACATCCATCGGATGGCTGGGCTCTAAAGGTAAGCCTGTCTCTATAGGTTCAGTACAGGTTAATAAACATACAGTCCACCCTTTAGCTTATACATACTTCCGTTTCATAAAGTCGTAGTCACAAAGCAATTTGTCTCTGTTCAGTTCATCTCTTGTTGTTAAGTTCGTGTTAACTTGTCTCTCCTTTTACGAAAGTATTTAGCTTTCAAAGAATAGACTATAGAATGAAGAATGACTATAAACCTCGCGAATATTTAAAAATTTAGCATTTTTCGACAAGTTATGAAGACTTATCTTGTAAAAGTCATGCGGTTTTCCACTGATGTAATTTTTGTTTAATAAACTAATTTCATATGGATCACTCTGGAAGATATGTTCTTCCTCTAGGAGAATCTGTTTCCGCCGGATATATTAAGGAACATTGTGAAAACGCGTCAGCAAAACTAGTTCCAGTCTCTAGATAAAACTATTAAACAACACTTCGCATGTAGTCCTTTATCTTTCTTCAACGTGACTTTAGTTTAAATTTTTTTTTCTGCTAAATTATCTGGCCTATCTATTGATGTTCTTTCTTCATTCTTACATGTAATACTACTGCTTAACATTTCTCGGATGCTAATGTTATGAAAACGAACTTCCTATCAGAAAATCTTCTTCCACAAAGATATGATCTAAAGTTATTAAAGGCCACTGTATATCTTTTGACACAAAAACGGAAAATTTTTCTTTCTGAAACCGACTCGCTGCCAATTAGGATTTACAAGCTATTATCCCGTCTTATAGGACAACTTAGAAGAAGTTTGTTTTCTCAGCTGATTGGCTTTTTAAGAGTGGCTTATTGACTTCAATTATCATCCAGTGTCGCTCCAACATTCTTTTTTCAGAAAAGTTCAAGGTAAGCATTTGAAAAATTAAATGCACTGCATATCCGTGACCTGGTTGTAATAACAAGCTAGCCCCATGCTGAAATTGAGTGTTTAAAAATGTTTAAGTTTTCCGGTATGTACGTGGAGATTAGCGGTTGAATGTCACGAGAAATTATGAAGCCTCTTGATACATAGCTTTGAATGTTATGGATTAGCAGAGACCACCGTGGTTAAGGAAGAAAAAATTCGAAACAATACTGTGAAAACTACTCAGTCAATTAACTGAAGCAATACAGGACAGCTACAATAATTTGTTCTTTTTTATGGTACTAACGGGGAACAAACAAGGTTACCATTCCCGGGGTCATACTTTATTGTAACAGGGGCCAAGAGAATTGTTCGTAACACTGGCGTGTTCCTTTACACGGCCGTGACGTTCGTTATTATAAAGCGCTTCCTCTGTAGAACCACTCTCAATGCTAAGGAATTGAAAACACAACTCGTATAACAGATGTTATGGCAGTAAACTTTGATTGGCGGGGGACCCTTGTCTCATGAGCAGCTGAGAAGGCGTTCAGAGGTGTTAGCCTGCTACGAGTAAACACTGCAGCTTCTCGCATAAACTCTGCTGCTAATCCTTCGCGGCAGTGAATAGGCTAGAAAGCGTGTATATTCTTTGTTTCTTGTCTTGGATCATGAGAAAGAACTTGGCGTAGATTATCTCTTTTTGACCAAAAATCCAGCTCGTGTTTTGTAGTTTATCTCCCAACAAATCATTAAATTAAAGACTACAAGAATTTATCCCACCTCCCCGGCTTTTCGCAAAAGATAACTCTGTTGGATTTCGTGGTTCTTATCTCTGTCCAGTTGTTATTAAACATGCGTGCTGTTTATTCAAAACTATTCCTGCTGTATCAATTTTCTTTTATCATGGCCACGAATTTTTTTTTTTTTAAATGTTGCTCCTTAGTTTTTTTCTATTTGTTTCAAGGTCCATTGTTTTTCTTTTTTGAGTGCTTGATTACTACCGACATCAAGGACATAAAGTGCTTTTTGAAACTCTCCAGTCACTATTTCTATTGTAGATATACTGATATGATGAAATTGTTGAGCAGAACTTTCCTACATTATTTTTGTAGCTGCTTTTTGTGTTTATTTAAATTAATATTTCCTTGGCGGACATGCAGTTGCGAAATAGTATTTTGTATACTTTAGCCATCTCCGGAGATTAGAGACAAACTATACTGTTCACTCGTCTCTTCGGACAAAGGTCGTTAAATGGATAAGAATTATCCGTATCAATTTTACTTATAAGTTATAAGACTTTTTAAGGAAATTCGTACCTTTAGAGACCACCATGGCCGTTCAGATCTTTATTTTAACCTTACTTAAAAGAAAACATTTAATATTTAGCACGGCAGCTCAGGGCCACGTACTCAGAGCAGAATGAGTGGGAACACAACCACCTACATGTATTGTACCTGATGTTTATGTCGACTGACCGTAAGAAGTATACATGTATGAAGACTGAGCCACATTGGTTCATACCTGGCTCAAAAAAGGAAACTTTTGGTCCTCCATAGGGTATAAATACATACCAAATTTTAATTTTGGGACCCCAAACGGGGACGCTAAATAAATAGTAGGTGCTTATTCTCATAACTGTAACAAACTCCTATACGACAATTAAGCTAATATGCTTGCAAATAGCAGTGAGAATACCCAGTCTATCCATTGATTTGTCTAGGCCGTTTAGAGCTGAGATCCACATCGTTTAAAGCTCAACTTCGATGTTAGAATCCTCACTTTGAACTTGAATGAATGATTTTTCTATATTTCGCTATTTCCTAGTATTTTGGAGTTATTTTCATAAATTATATTGCATGCAGGGGCGTCTATTAGACAGGGGGCGTTTAATAGCGAGTGGCATCTAATACAAACTTAAAGAGCGTTGGAGGGGCGCTTATTAGACAAGAGGCGTGAGAGAGGACGTCTATTAGATCATGTCAAGTCTGCTCCTTTGTTGAAACTCTGCAGGGCCCAGTTGTTCGAACGCCTATTAGCGCTAACCCGCGGTTACCTTTTAACGCGGGTTTCTTTTTCTTTTTATCAAAAGCACTCCTTCGGAAAATTTTTTCTATTCTTTTTAGAGTATCCTATCATCAAATTGTAGGCAAAGAGAATTAAACTGAACTTGCTTTTTAAGCTCTGATTTCCGAGTTCAAATTTCGCACTAACCCCTAGCTTCGAACAACCCGGTCCAGAGTGATAAATATGACGGAAGATTTTTCAGGTTTCATCTTAAGACAAAGAAACTTTTCAGTTTTTAAGTAGGAATAGATTAAAACGAATTTCCGCTCATCCCCGCCTTGAATCTAGCCTACGAGCAAGCACGCTAAACTTTGAATAACGTGACTGCTCGCAACATTATCCAATGCATCGCCCATGTATCCGGGAAATCCGAAAGTAGTGGAAGCCTAGGCTTTGGAATCCGGAATTCAAGGATTCCGAAATCCTGAAAGAGATTGGAATCTGGAATCCAAGTTCCATTGACAAAGGATTCCAGGATCCAGTGCCTGGAATCCGTGATCCACAGCGTGGAATCCACAATCCAAGACTGTCTTGGCTGAACATGCAGCAGAGCTTAGCTTACTTAAAAGCATCCTATTCATCCTAGGATCGTTTCTCCTCCTCCGTTTCCTCTTTTATTAGACGCGCGGTGTCAAGAAGGAAGAAGCTCGAGGGCAAGTTAAAATAAGGGCGAGCGATTTAACTTCCCATTTCTGCTCTCATTTTTTAGTTTTCCTGTAAAAATTCCAAAACCAAATGTATTTATATTATCAATCGACTCGTCATAATGCCGGCTTGCTGTTGTTTAACCTCCCTTGATGTTGTAAGTGCCACAAGAGGCATCCGACATTTCAAAATAGCTATACCTTTTTCAAATTACCGCTCCACAAACTACATCGTTGAAAAAAACCATCTCTTCTTGAACTGAAATTCAATCATTGATAACGGATCTTCTAAGCTGTTCAGATAATTTGGGCATGCATGGGTCAAGCAATTCATAAATAACCCTCTCAAATCATCCATCTTCAACGCTCGCCAGGTCAGATGCTAGAATTTTCACCTTAAGCTAGGGTTTCTTCTTCTTGAAAGACAACGTTCTTTTAGGATCTTATTGGGTTTTCTAACTGCCTAATTAGCTAAAAATGAGCTGCGAAATGAAACCCAGGTCGGATACCCGGTAAGACAAAGTTTTGAAGTAGTGAGTAAGCTAAGCAAATAACATATTTGAGTTTGTATAGGTAATAGCATGATTTGTGGTGATATTTGGTATAAATACCAAGAGTGATATTTCGAAATTGTTATACATGTACGTAATTTCACGAGCCGTTAGACGAGTGAAATTTGAGACAATTTTGAAATATCACGAGTGGTATTTAAATGCCAAATATCACGTACAAATCATGCGATTATTTGTTTATACTACTACCCGCAAAAGGTTTGTAATTTTCACATGTAGGTATTTCAAATTAAGCTGAAATACCACTGCTCTAATCCAATCAGATTGCAGAAATTTCTCATGTAGTAGTATAATTCAATGAAGAGTTTAATATAACCTGTGCCAGGCTCTCATCAGTTTTAGAGATCTCTGCTCATTTCTAGCTTGCAGCCTGGAACAGGCTAGTGTAATAATTCTCTTGGATGTACACATTTGCAATGATTTAGGCGGACGAATGTAAACATGAGCCATTTTATGAATGTCTTTCTGTTGCGACTTTATCTGTGTCAGGCTAATAAAACTTAGCGAGTTAAGAATGTAGAAAAATATGGCACGGTAGCACTGCTGATGTGACGAAAACTTCGTTTCAACACTTTTACTAAAAGGTCTACCAAGGTCATTAATGACGAAATCTTATGTTAAAGAGCGTGGGAGAAAGAAAAAATGTATGGTTCTCCATGAGATTTTGAGCACGTGATCTCCGGATGTACTAGCGTGCTAGTCAAGCTCTCTGTCCACTGTCCAAGTTATTATTGTCTTAATCGTGATGGATTAACTCTTGTGATAAATCAGTCATTTAGTGTTTGTTTTCATGAACGAGTGGCTCGATTCCCGCGATTCATTCATTCATCATTATTCATTCTCCGGGGGGGGGGGGAACTCCCATATAAAAGTGACGGGCATGCTCGTCATCTCGCTTAAGGGTGTAAATTGCAGATTTCGGTTTCACTTAGGGTGTTTGGGACGGAAAGTCACTATATTTGCCCATTCAGGTATCTCTTAGGGCTGTGCATAAATAAATTTACAAAAAATGCCGAGATGTCTGTTTTAGTATGGTCTCCTTTAGGGGTCGTCCGTTTAAGCTTGAGCCACGCCCATATTGGTCTCCCTTAGGGGTTCAATTCTAATTTTCCCACGTGCATCCTCGTCACTTATATGGGAGTCATCCCCCGGGTATCGGCATAACTGAGCGACACAACGTTTTTAATGCATGCTACAATCCTAAACCTGGGCCGGTCAGTTTTAATAAGATAAACCACGATTATTCAAATGTGAACGAATACGAACCAATTTCTATAAACCCTTTTTGCCTTCAATTTGATATTTGGACGCCCTAAATTGGCTTATTAAGATTTTCAGGGGAAATGCATTTGAACACAAGAAACAAGACCCTAGATTAAAACTTAGCCCTGGGTTAGCGGTAAACAACCTTTGGACAACTGGGCCCTAGAGAACATTGTCCATTCTTCTTGATTTGAAAACAGGTCACGCAACACTTTCTCTCCCACAGCGCCGGGCCTAGTGCTGTAGGTTCTAAAGGCGTGGTGGTTGCGGACAGGGGAAAAAGGGCGTGGAGAACTAGAGGAAGTAGAACGATCAGTTATTCCATGGTCCCACGCCAGGAGTATGCCGCGGGGGAGATGGGGAGGGCACTCTAAGGAAGTTTTGGTAGAGGTGTGCTGCCGAGGCCTTGAAACCCTGACTCTGACAAACCTCTGACAAAAATCGTTCACTTCGCTACCCTTTTTAAGACGAGAGACCTTATATTATGACCCTGATTAATTTCGTTTCGCATAGAGAATTAACTAATTTTTAAAATTTTTGGAAAAAAATCTTGGTACCACAAAATGTAGACCTTTCATAGCTAGCCCAGCTCTCTCAGCAGCCCCCCCTCCAGTTAAAATATCCTCTCCCCTAATTTCTAAGGAGGGCCCGTTACTCAGGCTACTGAAAACCATGGCCATACCGTGTTCAGCGGCGCATACATATTTCTGACGTATTTTTTTATAAATCTATTTGGTAACTAACAGGAGAATCTGTGATAGAGAAAGCATAGTTTTATGGTGCAGTTGTTTTTAAATTCCTGCTAAATTTCTCCGCCACATACCATAAAATACTGTAAATCATCTTCTTTACCTTCCAGAACAACTACAACATTCCTAAACATCGCACACTAGTGGAAAGGTGCGCGGCTGCTCAGCTTCTCCTGTCCCATAATCCACCATGCACCGTAAGAGTAGACAGCATGCTTGACGCAGCCAATCTGGCGTACGGCGCCAGCCCAGAAAGACTCTACATCATCCGGGACTCTACAATAGTGTATCAGGGAGGGCCTGGACCCATGTCATATAGCACCCATGAAGTGAGAGCTTGGTTAGAGAACTACGCCCCTAAAAGGAGATCGCGCTGAAAAAATACAAGCGGTAGCATCATGAACTGAATGGCGAAAGTGAAAGTGAGGTGAAATCATGTGCCATTCCCGTGAGCCTTTAAAGGGTGCACACGATTGACCGCCGTATTCTGGAATAACATTACATGGAATAAACTCTAAAAATCACCTGTTTTGGCTTTCGCTGCCTGATAAAATCCAGAAAGCTGGTGGTCATTAATAATTAACATGAATATAGGATTCTAATAGCCTAAAAATTTGCGGTTAAGCTACAGTAAAATGGGCAACAAAAATGGGCAACTAGTTTTGGAGAATTAGTAGAAAAGGAGTTGAACGCGATGTTGCCCGTTTTACCACCCACTAATCAAACCTGTCTTGCAACAAATCAGGTTTTTGCATGTTGCGTGAATACTGACTTTTGATTGGATAAAATTACGCGGGAATCACGTCATACACCGGACTTGCTGCAAAACAAGAATCCCTTGGGCGGTAAAAAGCGAACATGCACAGATTTTGTTGCAAAAAGTATAACTTCTCTCTAATTTCTACAACAACTTTTTGAAACCTGCAAAAACCGAATTGTTGCAAGACAGGTTTGAATCGTTGGTGGTAAACGCGAAACATCGGTTTTCAACTAGTTTTGCAGCAATGCTGCAAAACAAGTTTTTGTTGCCCGTTTACCGTACCTGAAGACCGGAGTGTCATAAATTTCTGGCGTACCAACTTTTTGCAGAAAACGGTCAATCAAAAGCACCCTAATACGGACCTTTATTTTATGGAGGTGTTTTTTTTATATATAAGCATTTATTCAGACTTAACCGTTGTGTTATTTCAATGATTAGTTCTTTAATAGTATAACTAGCTGTATTTTCCATTGGTGTAGATAGTTTAAATATTTATCGCCTCGTGGTTCTTGTTGAAAGTATGTCCACCAAGACGCGTCAGAATTGGAGCCTGGTTGTCATATCAACATGCGCAAGTTATTTAGATGAAACTGAACAGTTCTTTGTAACAAAAATAACTTTATAACGGAACAGAACAAGACGAGTATAGAGCGGTTTCACTTGTTGTCAAGCCAGCCATATTGGTCTTCCAAACAATGAAATGGCGGCCATGTTGGAGTACTAAGCCAAGCCTGTGGGAGTTACTGACTTTTTTCATATGTAGACGCTTCCTTTGGCATAATTGCTAGCCACGTGGTCAAAACGCTCTATATAAGAAAACTTTCTCTGTTAGTCCGAAGGTGCCCGGGATTTTTTTTTTTTTTTTTCGCAATCTGGTCATATCAAGAGATTGGTCAGATTCACTCTCTTTTTTTTATATATCTGACCAGGTGGGGGAAATAGTTTTCCAGTTTAAGGAAAATCTCTCTTTCACTACCGTGATTACTCAAATAAGCATCGTGCCGTTAACTGAATTTTCGACGGACTTTTCAGTGAGGCGCTGATATAAACGTTTTCCAGGCTCACTCACGAATAACAATACGTATTTTCCTTTCTTTTCTTTCTTTCCAACAAAAGCGATGGGACCAGCGAAAGATATGAAGTCTCTGGTTTTTAATGTTTATTTCCTGTTCTCATACTTCATATTAGCATTGTTTAAAATAATGAAAATCAAAGAGCGCTGCATTGGGTGCCGGAAGGGCGCAGGGCTTGTTCGGGGTGGCGCTTATTCGAGTAATACGGTACTTCGTAAATCGAAAGCATTCCGTTTCTTAACTTTTCTTCCAACTGGCATAAAAGAAAAAAAACGCTTAGGGCCTGTTGCCCTTTTTAAAATATCAAAGGGGTGGAAAACTAAAAAGCGTAACAGTACTAACACCCACCGCCCTCTTCAAAAAACGTTATCCCATCGTCAGAATGCAAACTTCGTTTTACGTTATTACGTTTAGATGGTTATACAGAAGCTAGTTCCACTATATTTAAAGAGTTTTGACAGGAAAAAGTTATATTGTTATCTAGACAAAAAGTAGGTGGTTTCCTTTATCTTTTGAGCAAATTGGATCAATTACATCGGTTGACTCTATGAAGGCTAAGAGACCAAACTGCTTTAACGCGAGAGTCCTTAGCCAGATGCTGGTCGACTTGACGTCTTAGATACGAGTTATGCTTCTTAAGACTGTAAAGGAAAACAATTAAAATCACAAATCACAACGTTCCCTAATTGCCTGAGTCACTGTAAAGCCTACCGACCGGAGCAGGGCTGAAGATGCGTAGTACCAGAGGAACAGGTCCACTGAGCATCGTTGTGCGTTCTAGGAAACCAATAGTTACAGCTCTTTCATAGAGCTGAGTCTATGCATAGACGTGCGTGTTATATGACAGATCTACAAGCTTTGTTGAACTGGGTCCAGTTGTTCAAAAGATGGATAACGCTATCCAGTGGAACGCCTGCGTAGCAGGCGCTTGGAAGTAGTCGGCACAAGAAAAAGCGCGCGCGAGAGGAGACACCCCTCGCGTGTCTCCCTCTCGCGCGCCCGTTCTCTCTTTCGCCCACTACTTCCAAGCTTCTGCTACGCAGGCTTTCCAGTGGATAAATCTCTATTCAGTGGATGGTGCAATCGGTTTTCCTAATACTTTTCCGCCGGATAATGTTTTTTCCGATGGATAGCGCTATCCGACGTTTGAATAACCGGGGCCTGGAAGTAAATGTCTCGAGAACAACAGGCATTCTGCGTGATAAACACGGCTGCGCTGCAGACTGAAATTGTCCCTATATGTAAGCTGTATTTAAGGCTACGTCCGCACTGGACGAATTTTTGACCGGCTGAAAATTTGTCCGTTCAGGCGTTCGGTTCACACCTGTAGCACCTTAACCGTGCAAACATTTAGACGCCTGGCCATTCAAAGTTCCATGGGAACAGAGCGCAAATATTGAACGGTCCCGTGTGAACGTGGTGTCCCGTCAAATTTTTCAGTCGGTCGAAAATTCGTCGGATCAATTTAGGTTTGTGGGAAACTGCCCACCTACCCTTCCCCTAACGCAACGTTAACATTTGCGTCTCACTTGGGGCCAAACGTTGGGTTAGGGAAGGGGTAGGTGGGCAGTTTTCCAGAAACCTAAATTGATCAAGCTCGTCTGGTGCCATGTGAACATAGTCTAAGATGACCATTCGGCTGTATTTTCTTAGACCCTTACTTTTGGTTCTCGTGTTTTTTCCTTAATTTGCTGAGGTTTGTAGAGGTGCCCGCAGATCAATCTTGTTGATCGGCATGGACAACAGCTTCGGGGTATACTGTTTGTTTGTTTTAATTCGTTTGTTGTTGTTTTTTCGGAAAACTGACAGATTTACTCTGATTTGTTGCAAGCAATTGGAGTTACCATTACACGGGCATTTTTAGATGGCTAAGACACATGTCACAGCTGACTGTGAGAGAAGAATTTGTACATTTGTAGTGAAAATGCGAAAACAATGCGAACTTCTGGAAAATGTCTAAGTACGCTTCTGGACCAGCGCTGAATGGGTGGTAGCCGGGTGACACCGTACATGACCATTCGCCACAAGTGAAGGGAACTGGAGCTGAAATGCATCCCGCACTTGTTTCTGGGATTGTTTCTAGGGATTCTCTGGTCAGCTATTGGTCAATTTTTGTGGTCTCGTCTCAAGAAACAGACCCAGAAGTCTTTGCGAAAGTTTAACTCGGCCCAGTTTCCATCTCGTTTCTCGATGCCATACGCCACTTGCACATCTCCCATAATGCACCTTATTTGCCAGCCAAAATTTTTCATAACCAGGAGCCCATGAGCTCCTGGCATAACCTTTGTTTTTCATTTCCCCTGGATATCACAGCCGTCCCAAGAGAAATTAAAAACAATGCTTTTGCAAAATTTGCGGGGCAAAATAAGGCGCATTATGGGATATGTGCAAGTGCCATATCTACAGCTAGCAGAGATTCAATTCAAAAAGTGTACTTCATTTTATTACGTTCGTCTATTAGTCCAGTCCTCGTTTATTTATTTACTGATAAGGAAAGATGTATGGTCCTAAGTTTGTTCATACTTGCAAATTATTACAGGAAACGGAGATCGCATGTATACAATAATGCCTGCAAAAAGCAGGTACAGTATTACAATATACAATAAACTGATAGTTGCAGAACCAAAGAATAGCAGACATCGAAGTAAAAAATGTTACTAGAACAATTCAGCTTTCTTGTCGTCCCAACTCTAAAGTAATCGGTATTCTTCATATAAACTTTTGCACAAAACGTGCCAGCTACCCATTCTGTCATTGAACATTTTTAGATAGTAACCCAACCATTAAGTCACAACTTCATTTATTTATATAAAGTGCAATAGCTCTATGTACAATATTGAATATTGCAAATTCCAGGAATAGTTCATGAATTCTTTTGATTCTGATACTAGGCTTCATCCCATGTCTGGGGTACAGAATTTACAATACTGATAGTAAATAGGTTTACTAAAATCGTCTGAGTGAATGTACTGAGTCCTTAATAGGAATAATAACGTTTCAATAACCGATGCGGAAATACCCTTGACGTGAGTTTGAATGGAACAGAAGGAGACAAGAATTGGGGTCGCATCCTTTGCGTTTTCGTCGGATAAAAAGTCATAAAAAAAGCCAAATGCGTCTTTAATGACGACTGCCGGGCAATCATTTCTCAACCTTACCTACTGCAAAACCATTTACAAAGAATTTATTAAACCCTATTTATTAAATGCCACCTCCCCCAGTCCCCGTTATTCAACAGATGTAACAACCCTATTGCCAGAACATACTTCACTCGAGCAAGAAAACCACACGCTACTCTGCTCGCAGAGCCTTTTTTTTTTGCTTTGCTCAATTTTGGTGGACCGAAGAAAGAAAGCATGAACCGAGTAAGATCTTTGCTGGGCATGTGTTTCCTGTTGCTAAGATAAAAGTTTCAGTACAGGCCTGAAATGCGTAGAACGCACTTCGAAGTAATATGCGAGAAAGAACGGGGCGCGTGACTTTCTCGCGCGCCCCCTTCTTTCTTATGCCAGTTATTTCCAAGTGCGTGCTACGCCTGGGGGGGAGGGGTACTTTAGGAATTTCTGGGTGGGGATGTGCCGCTGGGACCCTGGAACCCTTAACCTATACCAGAGCTAGTTCAGCTGAATTTTGCTACCCTATACTAGAGTAAACTCCCCAAATCCCCCCATCCTAGAGTAGCTGTTTACCTAGTTTAGATAAAATCTTCAACCAACTGATCAGTTTCCTGAAAAATGATACCCTATTCTAGACTCAACGCTCTGATTTATATACCCTATCCTAGAGTAAACTGCTTGAAAACCACACCCTTCACAGCGGCACACCTATATAGCCCATATATGGCAGTACCCTCCCCCCCACAGGGGTGCTACGCAGGCTAACCCAGGTCTAATAGCCATACGATTTGCACAGCGGGCTCAGTTCTGACCATAAACAGATCAATAAACGGATGCTCGGCTCAAAAAACCAGTTTGACGACAGAGAACAAGATTGACTTACCCAGAAATTTAGGATTCGGCGACTTCAAAAGCTTGACGCAATTAAGACAAAGCCTCATTTTCTTCTCCTCAATCAAGAAGACAAGAGGAGACTCTTCTCGCAGGGTGAGTAACTGCAAACTTCAGTTAACCTCAACCTTGAAGACAGCTTATGTGCTGGCTTCAAAGCCCAACACTGGTAATAGAGAAATTAAACATCGCGTTTATGGCAAACGTGAGATTCAAGTTGATAAATTTCCAAATGAGAAATAGGCAGATAAAAACAGCTTAAAACGACAGTTCTGGATAGAATTGGCTTGAATCTACCGATTTTCATGTAGTTATAATGAACAGTAACAATAAATTAAGTAAATGGAAAACTTGGCCATGTGGTACAAATTCACGTTTGCTGTTTGCTGTAAACGCGATGCTTAATCTCTCTATTGCTACAGTGACTATAAGTAAACCTGCAGGTACCAGTAGCCAGCACAGAAAGTGTTCTCATGAGGGCAACCTCCACGAGTTCAGCATAAGAACAAAAATTGGGACAACAAGAAAAAAGTGACGAGTCTCTTCTCAAACTTGGGTGCCCTGCTTGCAAACACTTTTGTTTGCAGTCTAGCTCATAAGCCTTATGCATACCCCTACCTTAACCCCTTCAGAACCAAGATCAACATACAAATTCTCCTGATTGGCCTTCATACATTTCCTTGAAAAAGTGGTTGAAAAGATTTGTTTAAAGATCAAAGCATTTTTCTTTAGTGATCAGTATGTTAATTCTCGTAACCTTTCTACTTGATTATGCATTGAAATTGTTAGGAGAAAATTTATTTTGGTCACTCTTGGGACAGAAAGGGTTAAACCCAACTGCTTACTAGCTAATGCAGTCATTATCTATGTCCAGATGAAAACAGGTCACCAGCAGATGGCAGAGGGGCTAGGCCTCCTCCCACATCGGGGAGCTTGCTAAGGTCTGGTAAATTTTCTAAATGAGACTTAAGTTCTTGTCTCACTAACTGAACTTTCTCTTGTTTTGCTTTGTATTCCTGTAATAAAAGCAGTAACAGTCACATTAGTACAACTATAAATTATTCTGATTTATAGAGCTGCATTAGCAATTTTTTTCTCTAATTTCCACTTCACTCAGTATGAATCAAACTGCCAAACTGTATCAGGAAAACTGTAATTATAATGGCTAATCTGATATTTTCTGTCAAAATCGACTCTTCCACAGTTTTTTTGTGTTCCCACCAAATATAATATAACAAACATTTGTAAAATTTTGTGACTTTGAGGAGTTACATCTTAGTTTTCAACAAATCACCTTCAAACTAGGCAAAGGCGCTCTTTCCAGCAGAGTTGACGGATTTTCCATACTTTGTCCATGTCAAAAGTTGAACAAAACCATGGGAAGGTCTATTCAGGTTTGTAAGCAGCACTTCAATTTATCTTGCCATTATTACCTCCCCCACTGTCTTAACGTTAAAGCATTATCAAAGGTATTAAACATATAGCTTCTATGCTATACATAAGTTACAGAATCTGTCATAATGATAATTATAGTGACATACAATACAGTTCTGACTATTCAGTCTATAGAAGAAATTCTGTCATGTTGCTATTCAAATTAACACCTTCAGCAGCAGTAGTTTTAAATAGTGCTTCCATTTCATTATGATTTGACAAAAAGTGAAATTTGTGAAATTTGCAATTTTTTAAGAATTCTGACTTAGAAAACCTGTGGTATAGAAAATCCTTCAAAAACTAAAATTAATGGCCAACACAACTTTGAGTCTATTTTCTACAAAACAACAGACCTCAAGTTTTTTCTCGGACTCCGCAAGTTTGTCCCTCTGGAGTTGTATAAAAGCAGCAAGCATTTTGGATATCGTAGCTCTGTCTTCTAATTCAGCAGCAAGTCTTCCATTATAGTCAGCAAGCAACAGACAAGCTTCATCAACAATCTTTGACAAGCGATCACCAGTTTCTTTATCTACAATTTCAACAAAGCACATTGTGTTAACTACAAATTTAATAAAACAGTCTTCAAAACACAAGATTTACAGCAGTGCTGTGTGCATTGTCAATTAATATAATTTACAGCTCTTTGACTAATTTTTTTTGGGAAAACAAATGATTTGTTACCGTGAAGAACTGAAATCAATACTCATCATCAAAAATGTTTTTTAGGCTGGTTACAGCTCGCCCTAAGGGCAAGCTGTAAAACTGACTTTCTTTGCACCCTGTTTTATGATGTGTCTTGCAGAACCTAGGAAATCTCAAAGTTATTAAGCCCTGATGGGTGGGGGTTAAAAAGTGGACAGGTGACCAGCTGTGGAATATCCTGTTACATATAGAATCCTATTTTTACTTTTCTCTTTTGAAAAAGTATACTTTAAAGAATCATTTTAGCTGCCAGATAAAATGCAAATGGCAAGTTCAGGTGCAAACTCACTTAGTAGTACTGACCAACAGTATTATAGAGAACAAAGTACGTAAATGAGTATTCAAGTCTCATTTCAAGAAATTCTTCAGAGATATGCTGTTTCCTAATAATGGTTTTTACGGTTAAAAGCACATTTTTTTAATGCATCAGGCATAAGAAGGACTGGTAAGTCCTCAACCAAGGGGGAGCAACTTTGGACAGAAATTGCCCAATCCACTCATCTGTGATGTGTATAAATACCTTTCTTGGGCTAGCAGATATGTACAGGTATGTACATGTACTCACAGGTACAGCTGTACATACGGTACACGCAAGCTTATAAAAAGAGGTGAGTTTTAATTGCATAGGCTGGGTTACCTTCAATTTTTTCAAGGAGAGACACATCTTGCACTTCTGCGGGTAAATTAGCAATCTTTTCCCGAACAACAGCATCTTGTGAAGCAGAGTTTTCAAGTTCCATCAATGCCTTAATTAGATCCTCTGGCTGCAAGTGACAAAAATCTCAATTTCTTCCTCAACAAAAGGATAGAGTGCAGTCTGAAATGTTGGTCAAGACTCTGCACCCCTCGTGAACGGTTCGGAGACAGAGTGAGACATGCGTGCTGTTAAATTAAGTTTTTTTTCCATTTGACTCATTTTTAAGTACTTTGATTTTCATCTTTGAGACACTTTTTATAAATTGACAGAGTTTTATGCTGCGTAAACACCACTGCCAAACATAAGTATCAGTTGATACAAGTAACTGGATAGTCAACTATACTAACAATGGCCAGAAAATTATCTGATCTTTCTCATATCTCTTGCTGGTTAAACTCTTGGGAATGGCCAACAATCTTCAAACTTTACCATAAATGTTTGTCAAAGAAAATAGACAAAAAGTAATAAATAACTAAGGTAAATTATTTCATATGTTTAAACATGAAGCTTACATCTGGTGGCTCCATTGTTGACGCTTGTTTTTCATCATCAAGTTTTTGTTTCTTTTCAGGTGGTGGGGAGTCAGATTCTTGACCTGCAGAATATTAGAACTCTAAGCTACTCTTAATTTATTATCTTACAATCTATATCGCTTTAAATGTATCACTTATTTATTACACTAATGACTATAATGATACTTGAGGTGACAACAACCATGACAGTAAAGATAGTGATGATGATGGTGGTGGTGGAGAAGGGGAGATGATGGGAAGTAAAAGCAAGAGCAAGCAATAGCCATAGGTCTCAGAAAGAACAAATTACATCATGTACTTAACGTGCAGTCTTCTTTGCCAAGCTCAACGTACTGGGTAAGTGATTATCTATCTGGCACACACATGATGATAATAATGATGATGGCAGTGGTGGTAGCAGTGATAGTCAAGAGTCTTCATAGCCAATAAAATTAATAACATCATGGCTTAACCGACAGACGACCAATAACATTGCAACGTAATTGACCAATGCAATAAACAACAACCAGAGTATAATACCATCAACTGACATGATACAACTCACTTTGACCTGAAAATGACTACTGCACAGGTTGTCGAAACATCAGTCACTGTCAACAACAACAGTGCTATAAAGGGCTATAAGTTCACACTGACTATCAAACTCAACCTACTTTTGAAATGACTCCTGGGTTCAAACCTTTCACAAAAATTATTTAGTTCTATTACATTACATTAAAGTCTCAATGCTCTTACAATATTAATTAGAGATTACAGAAAAGAAAAAACTCAAAGTAAATATATTGCAGTAATTCTAAACTGGTTCTAAATTTTTGACAATGAGAAAATCCAGACTTGTCTAAAGTGCAGTTTGTAGGACTGGCTGCAACTTTTCGCCAGTGAATCAGTGAGCCATGATATTTCTTTCCAAGATATGAATATCGATAACCATCTTTTGCAACACCACCTTACAAATTGCTATGCATTAAAGAAAATAGGAATTATTTTTTAATTAGCAACCTGTCTCATGAACAATATTAATCTACTTACCTAAACACTTATGAAGTTTAACAAGGAAAGATGCATCATAAACGTTTCTTTCTGTCCAAATGGATATAAGCCTTTCAAGGCCCTTTATGTCATCTACTCTTCCACCCCTTGAAGAAATGAACAAGATTATAGGTAACCAAATGCATAAACTTGTATCTATTTTAAAGCTCATGACCGGCATGTCTACATGTACTTTAAAAACTAGTGGAAATATTACAGTTTACAAAATATTGCTCATTATAAAAATAAGATATGACAAAAGTATGAACTCATATAGTAGGTATAAAAATATCTATATATTTACTTACTGCGCACAGGTCTGAAATGCAGATGGAAGTATTTGTTTAAATTCATTTAAGAATTCTGTCCCTTTTCTTTTTCCATTTTGAAGGACATCATTAGCTAGATACATGAATGTAAGTCTCTTACTCTGCCTTGCTGCAAACAAACAAAAGCAAAAATAATAGGTTTTAGAATGTTGTCCAGCACTCTGTCCACATTAAACTAATGAAACATAAGAAAATGATTGAAAGAAACATAAACATGCATAATCTAATGAGATAGTGTTGCAACGTTTCTGCAACCTCATGACGCCATTTTCAAGAATTTGGACATATATAAATGTGAGTTTGAAAAGAGTTAAAGAACTCTAAATTTGCATAAAGGGAGTAGGGCTTAGAGACAAATACTTTAGCATGGGTTGAATCCTTTTGCATGTTCAAGGGTAGTCTTAATGGTTTGATGTACAGCATTTTGTTAACAAGACAGTCACATTTGTGCCTGCATTTTTTCAACACTTCAAAGAAACTTGGGAGGTCCTCAGCGCTGTCCCTGAAGTTAGAGATGTATCCCATGCCCCTTTAACTATTTGACAGCAGTGAACAGATTATCAATAAAGTCACAAGACACTCAACTCTGCATTTGGATCAAAAATGGTTTCCTTGATGGCAGGACATTGATCACCGTAGGGAGGTTGCTTATTGAACCCAAATGCTCATTGGTTTTGCAGATTTATCAGACCAACAATTCTAATGACAAGATATTTCACGCAAAAAGTTATTACAACAACTGTGCCAAGACCTAACTTTCTGCTTTTAAGTGTCTGCTCTGAGAATTAAAAAACATAGCTGATAATTTTAATTTATGAGCCATCTCCAACTTCAAGCAAAAAGGCCGAGCAGAAGCTTATTAACTCGATTAAATAAATTAAAATATACAAGTAACCCAATATGCGTTGTGGCTTAATTATATCCGTGGTTTAAATTTAGTTTTACTTTCGTATTTGGTTATATTAATGCAAGATAAGGAGCTCGAAACAAAAGAGAATATAATTTAAACCAAGGATATAACTGAACGACAACAATGAACGACCGTCAAGCTGATTTTTGCTGACATTAAGCTTATAATTGGCACCTTGAATCGGAATAACAGTCAACAAAACGGCTCAGGAGTTATATTATAACTGATGCATTAACGTTAATTGAAAGCATGCATGAAAAAGAAAGGGAAATTTTCAGCAATTTGCGAAGAAAACTTTCATTCTCCCGCTAAAGGGCTTAACATCAAAAGAAACACGAGGTGACCCAAACAGAAAACGGTTTCAACATGAGCTTACGTACCCTTGGAAAGTTCCTTGTACCACGCTTGCACTACGGCTTTAGCGTGCTTTCTGTGATGAATCAACCACAGCGAAAGTGTCTGGACACTGTGTTGAGTGTTTGAAAGATCGCTTAACTTTTTCTCCAGCGTTGATGTTGAAAAAGAAGTCATTTTTAACACTATTTATATAAACAACAAACAAAAACAACGAACGTTTACAAGCAATGGAGGCCAAAGAAACTGGGAACTAACCTGCCTCGATCTGACACAAAGTCCGCTGACATATTACTGACATCGCAGCCTCGTTTAAAGAAACCACGTTACTCTTGTTCAGCGGAAGATTTTCTCGGTGTGCATCACGCATATATTTTCTGTAAAACCGCTGTGTTGAAGCTTGAAGACTCACTTAGATCAACAACATGGCGGATAACGCGGTTTATCGAGCATTGAAGCTGTACGTATGCGATTTAATCTAACCACCCGTACTTTCGGAAACAGTTTAACTTTCAGAATTGTATGGGGCTTAGTTTTCTTTAATTTTGTTTATTCAACGATTTCTCTAGGCACATCGCACCAGACAAGTTTTATATAGAGCCTCGCGACCAGCATTCTGTGGGAGACAAGATTCTCGAGATAGACCGGGTGACACAAGAATTAATCCTAGCAGGTTGGTGAGACGATCTCAAATCATTTTGTTCTGTATTACTGGCACAATTTGAATTCAAAGTCTCTAAAACTTTTAGTTTATTTTCATTTTCCAATGCATTTTAAAAATTCGGCTTTCGTCACTTTTTTCGTACGTCGAGGCTCAATTTACAGTCTATTTACATAATGAATCATAGTTTAGTCAGCTGTTTAGTAACGTAGAGTGGTCTAAATTTTTTTTTTCTATCCAAAAATAAAGAAGATGAATGCGTCATTATCTCAATTAAGCTTATCGCTTTTATACTAGTAATACAGTCGGCTCCCGATAACTCGAACCCTCGTTAACTCGAACCTCGCGCTAACTCGAACCAAAATCGGTTTCCCTTGGATTTCCGTCATGCATTCACTGTAATTTTACCCTCGGTAATTCGAAGCCTCGATAACTCGAACTCCCGCCAACTCGAACCAATTTTCGTTTCCCTTCAGGTCATTTAACACATATTTTTACCCTCAATAACTCGAACCATCTTTTGGAGCCCTTAATAAGTCGGGAAAAAAGCCGTCTATTGGGGTCCGAAACATTGAATTTTGGATTTCCTTTTGACTTGTTGTAGGAGTATAGTTTACTAGTGGAGGCTAATGTTGATTGTCACAGGCTAACGTGAAGCAGCTTTTCTTCTCAACACAGTAAAACGCATGCTCAATAGGCTATGTTTTGTTACGTTACGTTCTGATTTATAAACTAAAAGTATCTTTTAATTTTCACTTGACATTTCTACAATTAAATGTGATTAAAATGTTCACTGTGCAGTAAACACTGTTTTTTACCTTACTCTCGGTTATTTTCTTCGAACTCCCGATAACTCGAACCTTTTTTCGATTTCCCTTGAAGGTTCAAGTTATCGGGAGTCGACTGTAGTTAACACTACAGCTGCCCCCGCTCTGTATATTGTCGGTCAATAGTATTCTTGCTGATTGTGTCGCTCTTTGAGATATAGCGATTCATAATGAAGATTTTCACACATATTCCATACAATAGGTGAGATAAATGCCGGAAACACAAGGTTGCATGCACAGTTTCAGTACGATGTACACAGCTTTGATCAAAACATTCTCAGTCTGGAGAATAGTTTATTCTAAACCATAAGAAAAGATTTAATTAGAAGTTGAATTTTTCGCTATTTCTCTTTCACTTTTTACATTCAGTTCATTTTACTTGCCGGAAAGTAAGCCTTAGAAATTAAAAGGATGTTTGATCAATTCACGCCCGGGCATTCTAGTCTTATTTTAAACTTTATAGCAGAAGGACATCTGTGAGCAGGGAATAAGTCAGCACAGAAGTTAATTGTCAGCAAATTTCTGTAACTGTCTATCATTCTGCTAGTGATAAGCTAGCCGTTGTTCACTCGTCTTGCTTGTTTGTAGCCTCCCCCGCAGACATTCTCAGGCATGCGTCAGACGTTCCTTCCCCACGAACGTCTGCTGACTTGAGCGGCAAAAAACGTGGACCAATCACAGCAGACTTCCAGATCTAGGAAGTGCACTTTGGACCTTGAGAAATTTCGCGCTTGACTTTATAGCTCCAGAAAACATCAGAAAGGTCTCATGAAAGGCGAAGACCTTACAGTTTTAGAACAAACTACTCAGTTAACTCACAAACGTTTGTAGTAATGGCTACCCTCAGAATCTCATTGACAAAAATTACCTCGGAGGTTAAATTTGCTGAAAGGAAGTCGGCTTTACTATAAAACGACAGCATGTGAAAAAAAATTCTGCCTTTTGTTCAGTCTTACAAGGTAACTCCACTGTTACATCACCCAAAGAACAAATTTATGAGCAAATGACACCTAATCCAGCTTTTACAGAGATAAATATACAAAAAGCCAACACTTATCTCCTATATTCTCGTCAGGAACAAAAATCTTTTGTCACGCATCACACTCTATAGAGCTTGTACGTATGTGTTTGGCTTGTCAACACTTTGACCTCAGCAGTGCTAATTGGATCTCTGATAATCTGCATGTGATCTCCAGCCAATATTTGCAAACAATGGGAAAGGAGTTTATTTTTCAGTTCAGCAGATGTTTGTGGGGAAGGAATGTGTGACACACGCCTAAGAATGTCTGCAGGGGAGGCTAGCTTGTTTGGGGCTAAGTCTTATTCTGGTCAAAGAGAGAGAAAGAGTGTCTGGTAAGGTTTCCAATCAAAGATTTGTGAACTCATGTCTGGCAAACTCTCCAAGTGCTTATATATACACAGTTATACACACCTTGTACTTTCATCTGCCGTTAAGGAGTGTGTTTTGGTCCACAACTTTCAAAACAACTGCTCCACAGAATGTCACTGATAACACGTAACACAAAAGAGTATCAAAGTATGACTGCACAATAAATGTCACAAAATCTACCTATAAAGCGGTCCCTTCGGGATTTTCTGTCTTTACATCATCCTAACCGTTTCATACTTGCGGCTGCAAACAACAGAAACCTACAAATTACCTACAAATTACCTACAAATTCCTTGCGGCCCCTGTTCAAGCAAATCGAGAGTTTTTCTGGCATACTGACTGTATATTTCAACTGTAAGTGATTTCCTTAATATACACACAAGTTACTAGATTTCCTTCTGGGCGAAATCCCTGCTGGGGCAATTATTTGCTGTATTTTTTAATTCTGGCAAGATTTTTTTGGTGCTGAAGGCTAACAGTCTATTTTTTTCTTTGAAAAGCTGCAATTACAATTTCAGAAGGATTTCATTATAAATGCTACTCGCTTAGATCTGATAATTATTGGTATAGGGGTTGGTAAGGGAAGGGAATGATATACTGTGCAGGAGATTGTGTGAATAGCAAATTTAGAAATTATGTCCTGCTTCTTTCGACTATTATGGTTGTCTTTGTATGTATAAAAGATACTTTGCAGTCCATTCAGCCAATATTATCTTGCCCAAAGATCTGCTTTGAAGCTTTTGCTCCAGATGGCAACACAGTCAATGCCTCCCCACGCTTATTTCTTCTTGCTTTTGGTGACAATAAGTACGCATTTTATAGGGTTCAGGGAATACACAACTTTGGACAAGATTGCTTTCGGTCAACTCCACTGGTTACCACCGGGATACAATGAGATAGAGACTTATGTCCTTAGTGACATGCTAATGAACATGAGGTTATATCAAGAGTCATCTGAACAAAGTGAAGATGACTGCGTAGAAGTCTGACTCAGTGTTCATGTAAAAAAGGGGCTACACCGGAGTCCTTCTTTTTTAGGAATGAAAGTTCAACACTTGGAGATTGCTAAATTAAAGCTGTTTTGTGTTATATACTCTTACGTTTACATGTAAGAGCAAAAGACTTAGTCAGGGCTCGAATTTAACGGTAACCCATTAACCAATGGTTAGTAGTTTCTTACGTTTGGTCACTAAAAATGAGCATTACTATCCTGACATAGTTAGTAAAAATCTCTGTCATTGAAAATCTTACACCTGTTTCTTTTTATGCATAACACTGTGTTCTATTTCATTCAATTTATTGTTCTAAAAGATATGCTTACAGTATAATCGAACAACAGGGAAAACGTACATTTCACAGAAATCAAGGTAACCAGGCTTTTGTTGGATGGGGAGATCTGTACACAGCCTTAAGCTTAACATATCTTTTGCAAGTGGCTTGTTTGCATCATGGAACCTATTTGTTATAAAGATCAGATACAGAGATGCTTGATAGGTTTTTCAGAAAAAGGTCGCCACCCAAAACATTTGAAGAGGAAATGGAAGATCGAGAATAATGACTAAAAAAATTAATACAGTTTCAAACACTACAGAAGGCTCCCGCGCAGAGGGCGTATGAAGAAAGAAAGAACTTTCCACCAAGAATCGAAAAAGGCATTCACCTGGCTGCAGTTTGATGAGTCTAAACAAACAACATGTTGCAGTTTCTATGGTGAATAATTATTTCGCACCCTCTCGTAACATAATTGAAAGGAAAATGTAAAGATGCATTAAATCATCTAGTATATTATTTCGTTTTGCAGATCATCGTGTAATTTGAACCAATCCATCCATACATAAGTTTGCCCCATTTATTAGCACTACTTTCAATAGTTAAAATGTTGTTATTTCAAGAACAGATTCTTGGATAATTAACTTTATCATTTGTTTAGTAGAGCGGTTTTCACTTGACTGTCGAAAGGGATTGGTTTTGGTTTTGGTTTTGGTTTTGGTTTTACTACGCCCTTTGGTTGGCTAGTGTATTTACTTTGGTTTTGGTTTTACGACAGTCAAGTGAAAACCACTCTAAAACTTATGCCCACTAACCCAAAGGGTTAGTTATCCAAAAAATCAATTTTGAGCCCTGCTTACACTGTAGGAAGAATTTTGTTATCGGGCTGGTGAATTCTGTTATAAACTTGCCCAACGGGCAAGTGAAGTCTTGTGGGGGAAATTCAAATTAAGAACTGTAACCAATGCTCATCAAAAAAATTTTCGGCTAGTTGAAATGACTTTTTGGCTAGTATGTACTAGCTACAGCTTGCCCGATTGGCAAGCTGTAAAACTGACTTTCTTTGCACCCTGATTCTTGAAATAAAGCCAAACTAAGTACAGTCAACTCCCGATAACTCGAACCCTCGCTAACTCGAACCTCGCGCTAACTCAAACCAAAATCGATTTCCCCTGGATTTCCATCATACATTCACTGTAATTTTACCCTGGGTACCTCAAACCCTCAATAACTCGAACTCCCGCTAACTCGAACCGATTTTCGTTTCCCGTCAGGTTATTTTCTATATATTTTACCCTCGACAACTCGAACCATGTTTTGAGCCCTTAAAAAGTCGGAAAAAAAGCCGTCTACGGGCGTCCAAAACATTGAATTTTGGATTTCCTATTGATTTCCTATTATAGCATTGTAGAGTATAGTTTGCTAGTGGAGGGTGACGTTGATTGTCACAGGCTAACGTGACGCAGCTTTTCTTCTCAAAACAGTAAAATGCATGTTCTATTTAGGCTATGTTTTATTACATTACGTTCTGATTTATAATCTAGAAGTATCTTTTATTTTTCACTTGACATTTCTACAATTAAATGTGATTAAAAATAATGTTCACTGTGCAGTAAAACTGTTTTTTACCTTACTCTCGGCCATTTTCTTTGAACTCCCGATAACTCGAACCTTTTTTCAATTTCCCTTGAAGGTTTGAGTGATCGGGAGTCAACTGTATATCAAACACTAACCTTGATGACCACTTAGTAGTGGTGACAACAGTGAGAACACTCTCGTCCAGAACAGCTAAAATGTGGCCGCCGCTTCTTAATAGAGGTTTAAGTTCCCATTCTTTTTCTACAATAATTTTGGGACTTCAAACACTGGTTACTTTAAATTGAGAGGGGTGCCGTTTAATGGAGATTCAACTGTAAAATAATTTCTATTTTGAATTTTATTTTTAGACAATGAAGGTCAGATTCCACCATCAGCTGAAAGTAGAGACATCTTTGGAATACTAGGAATCATTAATTTGTTAGCAGGTATAAATTATAACATTATGCTCTTCGTTTAGCACCACAAAGACACTTGCCCACTTACCAGCTATTAGATACTGTGTATTTTTCTGAGACTTTTATAAAAATACCGGTAATACAAAGGAAAACAAAAGAAAAAGGGGTGGCCCCAGCCCCCTTAATTGGCACACCCCTAAATCCACCCTTAATTTCTTTTATATGCAGTGTGCAAAGAAAGTAGTGGATTTTGTTATCAGGCTAGTAAATTCTGTTTTTAACTTGCCAATTGTTGTTTTTTGAGGAATTCAAATAACAGAAGAGCTGTCAAATCAATTCTGCTGGTCAAAAAGTTTTTGGGGCTAGTTGAAATGACATCTGGGCTGGTAAATGCTAGCTTCAGCTTGTCTGAATGGCAAGCTGTAAAATTGATTTTCTTTGCACCCTGATGTGTACAATTTTGTCAAGGTCAATTTACATGGTATGACTTTGTTGCATGTGATGTGCTTACCAAAGGCCTACGACATGAGCTGTTTAATGAAAATCAAACTGAGAGCATACTGTCTTGTGACTGATTTATACACAACACAACTGGTGTTACAAGCATCTGGTAAGTACTTCCTATGCTACAAAGTTATAGCATGTAAATTAGCCTTCAGCTTTGCACTATTTTCAAGAATCTTCACAGTAATATTTCTATTTATGTATTCTTACTATATGTACCATAGTTGGCTGTAATAAATAAATAAATTATCTTTATATGTGTATGTATAGTTAACTAATACCATGTTGTAATACTCTAGGACCATACTTGGTTGTTATAACCAAGAAGAGCCTTGTGGGTCACATCAAGGGACATGAAATATGGAAAGTAAAAGGAACAGATGTGTTGGCATTTCCAAGAGCAACTTTACATTTGACAGAAAGCCAGGTTTGCTAATTGGACGTGTCTGTTTGAGTCATCAGCAACGCCTGGATTGGATCAGACCGGATCAACCCATTAATCATTAACCCTTTTAAGTCCCAATAGTGACTAACTTCAATTTTCTCCTAACAATATCCACACATTGTCAAGAGATAAAGTTATGAGAATTAATAAAATAATCACCTAAGAGAAAATGCATTGATCTTTCATCAAATTCTCTCAACTCATTCTTTAAGGAAAAAACAGAGATCAGTTTGGAGAATTTGTATGTGGATATTGGGACTTAAAGGGTTAATCATTAAATGACAAAAGTTCAGAGATGGGTCACAGAGCTGATCGAATCTCGTCTGATCCAGGTTTTGTCAACAGTCTGGGCTAGTACATGTTAGCTCCAGCTTGCCCGAATGGCAGGCTGTAAAACTGACTTTCTTTGCACCCTGAAAGTATATACAAGGTTAATAGAGTATTGGAATGAGAATCTAGATTTTTATCAGAAGTCATGTGTGGATTTATTCCAGGCACCCAATAAATTCATTAAGGTTCCTTCTCATGAAATAATGTCTGAGGTTTTCCATGCCACAATTTTGAATGAAAAGATAGGCCTGAAGTACAGTTAGGTGTATCTATGATTTCTTTGTCTGTAATTTGACCTGATCTGATAATAATTAACAACATTATTCCATGAGTGCACGTTGGATATGAAATGGTAGGTAGCCAACGAGGTGCATAGTGCCGAGTTGGCTATAATTATCTCATATCCAACAAGCATGAGTGGAATAATCGTTTTATTAAAAATGCCCACAAAATATCGAGAATTCTTCCCGAATTTATCAACCAAATTTCATCTTGTTTTTGATTTTGAGCAGACGCGTACAGTTACCATAATAGGAGAGCATGGTATAATGGCTCATATACCATGATGGCTAAGCCAATCAGAACTCTAGAATTACATTATCCAATGATTCAGTTTTTAATACTGAATATTATTATTTCTTCTTGAAACAGCAACGGAACAACAATGTGTATTTGTCAATGGTGCGATCAGTTCTTCAAACTGACAGTTTCTACTTCTCGTGTACATATGATCTAACACATACACTGCAGCGACTTTCCCATACTAGTCCAGATTTTCTTCAGATGCCTTTGTTTGAAAGGGTATGTACCATGTAACTCCTTTATCAAGTTCGTTGAAAGAGGTGGTGTGTTCTTGGTGATGCAGAGACTATTTCAAGGTTAACTATCTATTGTACTGTGGTGTTGGTATTGTTTTATGTCTTTGTACCATGTCACTTGGTTGTTGCACCATCTAAAAGAAAAGAGACTGCCATTAGAGTTTGTATGATACTCTAGTGTGCTAACCATTTTCATCAGTTTCATCATGTGGTACGAACACATGCCAACATCACCAATTATTATTAAACGGTTATGTGACAACATAATATCATGTGCCAACTCTCCCCAGGTCATCCGGCAATCTCCTAGGTACAGCACAAATCTCCCAGTCTCCTGAATGGGTCACTGAATCCCACAGATGAAACTAAATGTAAACTTTTCTGTGCTTTAGTTTGAAATTAAGCTCATTTCCCTCAAATGGAAACACATTTTTCAGTCATGGTCTGGTTGTGTGTCAATTTGGCACATACTGACATTCATTGACAAGACTATTTCATCAATAAAGTGAATTTTGACTCTTTTATAGGCTGATCCTAGATTTGTTTGGAATGGTCATCTTTTGAGACCACTTGTGGTGCAACCAGAGGTAAAGGCTGTCATTAATAGCCATGTTTGTAGTTAGAAAATACTCAGAAGAGAAAAAATGAATTAAATGAGACAAAAGCATTGAAGCATTTTCAACTTACAATGTAGTAAGTCATTATTGTCAGATTATATATCTATCTTTGAAAATGAAATTTGCGTAAAATTTTTGGCACCCTAGTTTGATCCCCATTTTCCTTTGACATATATTATCAATGACTAGGGTTAGAATACAAAGGAAATTGAGAATCAAACTAAGTTGAAACCGTTTTAACCTGAATTTCATTCAACACGGTCACCACACTGAGGAGGTTTGAATTTCAGTGCAGGGAGCTAGTGAAGGCAGATCGACACAACATTTTCATTTTTTTACTTTTTTCTTTACTTTAATTTTTGATTTTTGTCTAATTAAAAGGTAGCTTGAACATTAAATTAATTTATTTTTGATTTCTTGTTTCATCAGCTTCACAGGTTTATACTTCCAGTGATGCATGGATGTATCCTTAAAAATCAGCATTTCATTGCATGTCCAACAGCCCATAATTTAAAGTTATTGTTCCATCAGTAAATTTTCCTTAATTTTCTTTAATTTTTGTGTTTTATTTATGCATTTTCTGTCTTAAGTTAGCTGTCAACAATAATATGGCAAATGACTTGTACTCCTGAAAGGCTTAAGAGTACTAAAACGTTGCAAAGACTGGTTTGGTTTTAATACAAGATATTGTGAATCTTGACAAAGGTTTCACTGGTTTTGCTTGCTTTGCAAAGGCCAGTCATACCTAAAATCATCCAAAACGGATGGCCGTTGTGCTAGTCTCTGTTAAAGTAAAGCATGTTACGGACGGCAGTGTTTCTTGTAAGGTGAGGCTAGACATTTCAACTGCTTTTTGAGTGAACACCCTTGATGTATCCGTTACTGGAGCTGGCTGCTTACAGGAATGGTTCTCATAAGTGGCCACTAGAGATGTAAGGGTTAAATGGCCGCTTATGGTAGCTTACCAAACTACCAATAAACGTTGGACATCAGATTTTATTTTAGTCTGCTTATGGCAGCTTACAAACAAAGCTAAAACCTAACTCATAAACCACGAAAGTGTCTGCAGTCACCAATGGGAATTATCCAGTTACGCAAATGTAACAATACAAAGTTTGTATGGGAGTTGAAACAGGGTTTCATGAAGGTGGCCATAAGTAGAGCTGTTGGCTTTAAAGAGTGTCTGGAGAGCTTGCACTGTATCAGCAAAAAAATGAATGAATAAATAATTATGGTGGCAAGAATTACACGCTCAGTAAGTACAATGTACATGTATGTACCGAAACAACATTGCAAACATCCTTAAGACAGACTTTATTATTATCCTTTCATGAGTAACATAACTTAAACTGCATCATCACTGACTTTAAGTGTTTTCCTTGACCTCATGAAGTTGTTTCTATAACATCCTGTATTATAAAACAAAGTACATTTGATTTTATCCTTATTTCAAGAAGGAGTTGTTTTCGGGCAGGTATGTCAAAAATCTGGTTTAATTAAAGATAAAGTTAAAGAAAGGTGTAAACATAATGGTTTGTGTTTGATAGGTTCCTGTATAGTTTGCCTCTAATATTTTAGTAAGATCATGTTCCTCTCTATCATGTTAAGGTACTCGTTATTATATAAGAGGAGTGGATACTGAAGGAAATGCAGCTAACAATGTTGAAACAGAGCAGATTGCACAGTTTGGGTCTGGAGTATGCTCCTTTGTGCAGGTATGCTTCTCCACAGATTATTGTCCATCTGTTCAGGGATACATACATGTATGCATACATACATAACCTTTATTTCAACACGAAGTTTAGAGTAGCTATGCTATATAGCTAATATCTGCGAGAATCAAATTATGATTTCTTAAACCTGAAAAAAAAACACAAAATAAGACAAAAATTAGTGAAAATGACAAAGCGGTCCAAACTTGCGCATGACATTAAAACTTCCTTTAGAGTTATTATTTTCTACTTCACGTTTCTTTACCACTGGATATACTTTGTTGCTACAAATACTTTCCTTCACAATCCTTAGGTGGCAATTAAAGTAATAACCTTTTTCTCAAAGCGCCTCATGATACTGATCTGATGGGTGTCGTACAGGGGGTCTGAAAAGCTGGACTCTTCCGCTTGATCTGCTGCCAAGGATGTGTTCCTTTACTGCTAGTTTCCTGTTTTGGAATATTGCAAAAAAATACATTAAAATAACATGATCCTCATTAAGTGTCAAAAAATATGTACTTTATCAGTAAAACCTTACTGGTCAGAAATAATTGAGCACTGCCAGTAGGAATGATCAACTACAATGTGCATTCAAATGAAATTCAAATTTTAATGTATGCATGACCAAGACTTTTGTGCTTTCTATAAAAATATAAAGATTATCAGCATGTTACAAGCATTATAAAATTACTGACCCTTTGAAAGTTGTTGTTTGTTGTTTTAGTAACCTAATTTTTTTGGTTAAATTGCAGACAAGAGGTTCTATTCCATTGTTTTGGTCACAGAGACCAAATCTCAAATACAAACCTACCCCTGTTCTAAACTCTGGAGCTGATCATGTGAGTACATCGTGTCACCTTTATCATGTCCTCTCGTTTGCCAGTGACGTTTCTAGAATAATACCAAAAAGTACATGTTTTATGCATCCTTGACCGAGCTTGTTACAGTAGGTCCAGATGGCTTGGATATAAGCCAAGTCCTCTTTTATGTAATTTTATGGGCTGAGAGGAAGTCAAGGTCCATGAAGATGAACAAGGGAATAAATATCCAGCCATCTGGACCAACCAAGCTTAGTTGATAAAGGATTATTTAAATGAGCAAAAAAAGTTGTCTTTTAATTGGACCAGGGCAGGGGGGGGGACTATGAACCATCAAGATCCATCTTGCCTGCCCATGTACATTGTAGCTGCTTGTGTAACCAACCTTACTATTATGATAAAATGACTTGTTGGGTTTCATCATTCTCTTTATTTTGTTACGTGGTTCAACTCAAAAATCAACTCCTTCAGGTGTAGTTCACATCATGGCAGTTAATGGGCCCTTTGTACAAAATGACCAGGTGGTACAAAAAACACTTTTGCTGGACAGCAAAAGGCGATTAGCTCGAACTCTACGCTCCTCTGACCAGCGTACACTTCTACCAAGGTCATTAATGTCCTTCTTTTGTTTTTTTTTCTCTTATTTGTTATTTTACTCCTACTTTACTAGATACTGTGTTATTATCATAATACAAGTGTGAATGAAACTAAACTGAAAGTGAACTGAACTTGATCTTGAAATGAAAGGATATTAGTTTTTTGCCCCACTACGTGGTTTGCCATCCAATTTGTTTTTTCTGTCCTATGTGGCCATTTCTGCAAAGGGTCCATTAAAAACCAACTTTTTTGTAAGATTTTATTTAGTTTTGGTTTTTGCATTTTTCAGAGAGTAGGATTTTGTCTCCACCTAGACAAAGAGAGAGTTTATTATGGAGAACATGTATTAATAAACTTGGTAAGTTTTTAACCAATGCAATTTTGACAAGATAATTTAAAGTAATTAAATGTTTTTGGTTTTTGTCTCCCCTACTGGAATGTCTGAATACAAACTATGGCAACCATGGTGCTGCTAAATCAATAGTCCTGTACAGCTGACTGATGCTATTGCATGATCAAAGACCAGCAATACACAGTCAGAGACTTTCCAGGCTGAAATTTGACCATACATAAGCAGGGCTGTCAGAAAAGTTTTTAAGCAGCAGGCTGATAATGAATAGTGGGCAGCTTTGGAACTCCCACCAAAGGCACAAGTTCTTGAGGGATGAGGTACCTAGGGACATCTTGAAATTTAGAGTCTCAGAAATGGCATTTCCAGAGGTTTTTAAGAGGGATTTTCCATCGCGGACACCATCGTTCCAAGACATCGCCTAGTTCAAACGTTTCACAGATCATATGAGGCGCGTTCTAGCATTTGCATTTCCTTCTTCTTTCCTTATTATTAATAATAGCATAATAGTTTTTTTCCTTTGTTTTTGTTTAATAACTTCCTTTCTTTCTTCTTTCTCTCTTTCCCTCATTGTTTCTCTTATAGGTAGAAATAATCTTGCCACAATAACAAACAAAGGAAAAATAATATTAATTCAGCTAGTTAAAATTGAAATTCACTGATTGCTTTATTCCCCAGCATATAATAAAGATCTGCTGCCTAAGTTGGCCTAAATGTTAACAAATCTTAAATATCATACCCAGCACGAAAAATGCTCCCCGGTAGAGAAAGTTTACGTAAAAACGTAATAACTAGAAATGTCCATTATAAAGTTTAAAACCACTTTCCACAAATGTAGCACCACTACAGAGTCCTTACAGTTGTGGTAGATACTTGTATTTATTACTTATTTCTTATCACTTATTGCTTTTTGTCTCTTTAACAGATTGATCAAAAAGGGCCAGAAAAGATTTTGGGAGATAGATATACAGAAACTGTTAGGACTGCAGGATACACGGACAATTTCTTAAGGTAATAAAAGAATGTACAGTCAACTCTGTTTGAAGGCACACCTCTGTAAGACACACACTTTCCTCTCTAAAATAAAGTGAACACATAAAGTTGGTCTTTGCGATTACCTTGTCTCTTCATTAAGGCAGATACAACACCACTTTGAGACTGCTGAAACAGTGCTAGTCTCGGTGGTGTTGACTGTGTGTATAAACATGGGCAATTAAACACACATGAACTATTTTGAATGTTTCAATCTAATTGTGCCAAGACTCTACCCCTTTCATCCTAAATATAGACTGGTATTTTGTGCGACATTGGGTATTACTTGCTTTACATGAATGAAAATGCGAAACACTGTGCACAGCTGAGTTAATTCTCATGCAATAGATGCCTTTCCTTAAGACATATGGTGCAAAAATTAAGGTGGCTTACTATAGTTTTCGTATGAAAACTATCAAAGTTTTCCAACTTGAATATTTTTAGCAACTTAAGGCTTCTACTGAACGTTTTATCACTGCAATTGATGTAAATTATCATTTTACCTTCTAAAAGCTTTTAATTGCGTAGCATAACATGAAATATAGTCATTGAGCATCCAAAAAGCGGACTGGTAACTCGACCTTTAAGAGCGCTTTTTCTTAGAAACTAGTCTTACGACCTGGGTTCAAATTTTGAGGATTGTTAGAGAACATAAAGATGAAACCATAAACATTTTTTCAGACGTGAAATCTCTTTCAAAATATTCTCCTGTAACATTACACCCTTCTCCTGCTACTAGAATTCTTGGTGAAAACCCTGCACAAAGCCACAAAGATACATATGCTCAGACCACTGACATATGAGCAAAATAGCTCAATTATGGTAATCTCAGTTTAAAATACAATGGGCAATTCATTCAGAAACAAACTTAAGGTCGTGTTGTTGAGAATGCCTTTATTATATAGAGAGTTTAAGTAGAACAAGAGCAATAATAAGTCTAAAAGGTAAGGGCCATTGGTTTTATTGCTTTGCCAAGGGCCCCTGGCTTTTGTTAAATTCTAGCTTGTCGTTTTGACAAACAACTCTGACATTTCGCTTGCCCACAGTCAATGTTTCTTTGTCTTAGTTAATGGTAATGTTTCAAGATGACTTCCCTGGACCCTTGCTTATTGGGCAAGTGAACTCAAAAAGTTACTCTTGGCCAGTAGAAAATTTGCTTTGCCAGAGTACAGGACAAAACTTTTTTGGAACCCTGCAAACAGCATCAACCTCTCACAAGAGCTTACCTTGGAGAGAATTTTCCTCCTTGCAGAGGGTCTTCCTTTCTGGGCATTAGTCTTAACCCTTTAAGTCCCAATAGTGACCAACAACAATTTTCTGCTAACAATATCCATACATTGTCAAGAGATAAAGTTATGAGAATTAATAAAATGATCATCATAGAGAAAAATTCCATGATCTTTTATCAAATTCTCTCAACTAATTCTTAAAGGAGATGTAAGAAATCAGTTTGGAGAATTTGTATGTGGATATTGGGGCTTAAAGGGTTAAGAGGTTTTTACTTGAGAATAAGGGTAGTGTAGACCTCAGTAAATGAAGGTTTATTGCAAAGATTACTGTTACAAATTACAGCTCTCAAACTTCTCACTTTGACTATTTTTTTATGTGTTGTTCATTAGATATGAACCATTTGATTTCCATAAAGAATGCAGTAAAATGAGATGGGAAAGACTGTCCATTTTAACCGATAAATTAAAAGCCAACCAAGATAAATTTGGGTAAGTGTTTCATACATACTGCCAGTTCAAACTTTAACATCATATATACAGTGATTTTGTTACCTCTTCATCCTGTGTCCCTAATGCATAAAAACCCCAAAGATGCAAAATAGTTCATTGCATGCGTCCCGTAGGACACAAAGATCAATCGATGTGAACATGTGTATCTATTCGTGTAATTTCTGTGGCAATTATTATGGCTGTTTAGTTTAATGATGCATATTTCTTTTAGCCTTTATTGTGCTTTTAAATAAAAGTACTATATTTTAATTTTCCCAGTATATTGTTATACAGAGGTTTGGAGTCTGTCTTCAAATTAACTGTCCAGCTACATTTTTGTTAACTAGAGGCAGGTACAAAAGTCGGACCAGATCAACTCGGACCGCCAATCCGGGTCGGATCAACTCGGATCGACTCGGACCAACTCGGATCGAATAAAAAAAATAAAAATAAAATAAAATTGGACTCGGATCAACTCGGAGCAATCAAAAAAATTAAATTAAATCAGCAAAACTGAAAGTTTAACCCATTTGGAGGGTTAAAAAGGCCAGATCATCCTTTTTTTTCTCCGTGGCTTTCAGGTGCCATTTTGTTTTACTAGTGCCAGTTCCTCTCGGATCATGTTATAAACTCGTGGTTGTGGTTGCATTACACGACGCGATATGGAGGTAAAATCTCGATCATCTTTCTCAATGAATTTGCTTCATTCCAAGAAAATGATAGTTTCAGTCGCCTAGAATATATATTTGCTTATAAAAGTGTACTGAATTATTTATGAGAAAAGCATCAAAAGCCTCTGTTGATCGCATTTAGAGTAGTTACCGAAGAGTGTTTGTTTGTTTTTTTTCTGCAGGACTTCTGAAACTTAATTTTAATGATACACTAGTGAGCAGCACACATACATTTCCAGTGAACATTTTCAACTTGGAAGGAGGAGAAACCATGCTCGCCCGGACAAAGGAAATTTCCATGCCCAGGGCAAGAATCAAACTCGCGACCCTCCGGTTCAGTGGTTGGAACGTCCGATAAACTTGTAGTATTCGGAGGATCGTGAGTTCAATTCTCACCCGGGGTACAAAAATTTTCGTTGTCCCGGGCGAGCATGATTTCTCCTCCTTCCAAGTTGAAAATGTATGTGTGCTGCTCACTAGTGTATCATTAAAATTAATAAAAGTAAAAATAACATTAATTTACGCAACCACGAGTTCATGAGAAAAAAACAAAATGGTGGGTGAATGTTAAGTGATACCGACTGATTTTATTTTTCTTTTTATAATCCGAGTTGTTTTTTTTTTATGATCCGAGTTGATCCGAGTCCAATTTTATTTTATTTTTTATTTTTTTATTCGATCCGAGTTGGTCTGAGTCGATCCGAGTTGATACGACCCGGACTGGCGGTCCGAGTTGATCCGGTCCGACTTTTGTACCTGCCTGTTAACTAGGACTCATTGGTTCTGGACGGGACTCATGATTTTTCACAACATGAGTCCCAGGACTCACCATAACTATTTGTAACAAAAACACTGTATATAGACTGTAAGTTGACTTCATGCAGTGCAAGAAAGAAATTGCTTTATAAAGGGACATACAGGGGTATTTTTGTCAGAACTGTTATTAACCCTTTAAGCCCCAGTATCTACATACAAATTCTCCAAACTGATCTCTTTACATTTCCTTAAAGAATGAGTTAAGAGAATTTGTTAAAAGATCAAGGCATTTTTACTTAGGTGATCATTTTATTAATTCTCATAACTTATCTGTTGACAATGTATGGATATCGTTAGGAGAAAATTGATTTTGAACACTATTGGGACTTAAAGGGTTAAGGGCCTTGACCCAAAACACCTGTTAGAGTTGAGCTTACTTTAATGTTACAGGTGATCAAAGTGGAATAATATTGTTTATATTTTCCATGAATCATGAATTTTATTGACAAATTTTTCTTCATGCTCTGTGACCAAAAAAACCTTGAAGGATTGTCTGTAGGGGGGTGCACTAATTGGAAGGCAGGTTCTTATTTGGAACTGGGTGCTAATTCCTGCACATAACTGTCACCATTGTTATCTCTTTTGTTATTGTGTTTACAGGTATTTTAGTTTAAGAGAAAAAGATAACCAGATTGAATCAGAACAGAAAGGAGTTTTCAGAACAAACTGCATAGATTCTCTGGACAGGTAACTACTAGAAGAAGTATTGTATTCAAAACATGGCATCTCCATGATGTTCTTTAGGAATTATGGCAAAACAGGATGATGATCACCAATGGAATATGTCCCTCTCAGAAAATGTTTTTGTAATTAATTTTAAGTTGAATAAGTAGAGCCTGTAGATAATGGGAAATTCTTTTATTATTGTTGTTGTAAAAAGTCTGGATATTGATCAAGAAAAAGAAAATTAAGGGAGTACATAGAGTAAGGCCCTAAAAAGCTCTTGATAGAATCTTTAATTCTCCTTTTGTCCCACAAGTACAATGAAATTCAAGAGAAGACACAACCTTGTTCTCACGGTTCTCTCCTACTTGTCCCTACTGAACGAGATGAGTAGCAGAGAACACTGGGAACAGATTGAAAGAGAGACTAACAGTTTATCAGGTGGACTTTTTTCCTGATGCACCCCATTAATCAAGTTAATCAATGGCATACTTGCCATAGCAGTAATTGTTTCTAATAACCATCTGTAATAATACTTAATTTACTATACGTAACTTGTTTCTCATCAGAACAAATGTGGTTCAAGGCTTACTGGCAAGGAGAAGTCTCCAGGCCCAGTGTCAGGTATGGCAAAATATGGTCAGAGCTATTGACAGTTCTGCTATAATTAGGTCAAGTAATAAGAGAATAAAATTGCCTTCATAATGTGCCTTTACTCAGCAGCAGTTGTGGGAATTATAATGTTGTTACCAGGAATACTTCAGTTGCCCAGGACCAGGCTCTTTGGTGGGGAAAAGGCAAATAACATGCAGAGCATTGTCAAAGAAAATCAGCAAGCCATTCTGCTGCATGGCGTGCTTTGCATACAATGTTTTTTAATGCTTTCAATACATTATTTGTGTTTTTCCCCACTAAGAAGCCCGTTTCCAGGCTAATAGTGTCCACGTTAGAAACTCTAGAGAAAGGAGTACATGTCATGTCCATTTGAACACATAATATGTATAATAAATTAAGAGGAAAATGGCAGAAAATGAGAAATTAATAGTCAGTTGTAGTGTATGAAAACATGAATTGGGCCCTTCAAAACAATGAGAAGGGTGGAAGACTGTCCATAAAATCTTGAAGGTTGTTGGCTGTGACACACAGGAAGCCAACAAGAGCTGCCAGATTATTTAGGTTACTCATTCCCCTTCATCAAACAGCAGTGCATGGTACATACACAAAAGACTATAGTTGTACAGTTGAACCCTCTTGACAGAGCCACCTAAATTCATAATGTTAAGGTAAAGAGTTGTAATATAATAATCTCCTTTAATGAAATAATTAAAAGAGTGAATCTTTGATGTCTGCTATGGTGGTGCTCTAAATGATTATTGCAGGAACATTGTTTTGGGGTTTTACCCCTGCCATTTTTTTTTTGTTACTTTCCAAGAAAATCAATTTCTTAATATGCTGAGAATTGAACGGTTTTTAGAAGTTGTTGAACAAGTTCAGTTTTCCATAATAAATAAAACAATGTTATTATTCTGAACCCTGAGTCTTAATGTAGCAATAATTTTATTGCTTCATTGCAGGAGTATGAAGTTTTATCTATGGGAGAGAGAATAGAAGATCATTTAGAAATGGAGAAGGTCTTCAAGAATGGTATGATTAATAAGCATTAAGTGCATGTTACAGTATCGGACTGATCAATCAAGTCATTATTATATGGTGACCATGAATCCTTTATTCAAAGTAACGTATAATATTATTGGTATACTATCACTCTAATCTCAGACATCACGTTAGAGTACCATAACTCCATCGTGGTTTTTTTTTGCTGTTTTCCCCCCCCCCCCCCCTTCCCCTTCTCCTCAAACATGCTTGAAAATATAAGCCACCGGGGGCCTAATAAAGGTATTTAAGGTGGGGATGACTTTTCAGCCTTTCAACTTGCAATCAGACTATCAAACTCTCTATTTAAGATAGAAGATTGAGCAAAGGATGAGATTACCACAATCCTTCCTAAGCGTCTTGTTAGTGGCTGCATCGTTCTCAAAAATATTTATACACTTTGATACCTGTAAATTGTTCCATCTTTTTTAGTATGGGCAGACAATGCTGATGCTTGCTCTTTGCAGTATGCTGGAACAGGAGCCCTCAAGACAGACTTCACAAGGTACCTTAACATACAGACAAGCCTACATTTTATTATTGAGCTATTATGAACACAGTTTACGTCTGTTGTATTCCATTTGTGGCTGATTGGCAACATCTCTTCAGTTTTAGTTTATTGTCTCCCAACAAGCCAGTAGCGACTGATAATATTTTGTTGTTGTTGTTTTTTTTTTTTAACAGGACAGGAAAGCGATCAACATTTGGACTTGTAAAGGATGGTCTTAACTCTGCAATTCGGTATTACAAGAACAACTTTGCTGATGGATTTAGACAAGTAAGTCACTAAAGACCTTTTTTTTTCAATTCCTGTGTCTGATCGCTTTATTTACTGTTTTAATATCTTTTTAAAGATTCCCTCCAACTGCCATCTTTGATAACAGGAGATATGTTTTAAGCCCATTTTTTTCTAGTGACACAAGCTCAAGTTCACTCCCAGGGGTGTACTCCAGTTTTCAGCTGATGGGAATGATCGAATGGGGGCTAAAATTAAAACCCAAAAAAATCCCTTGACCAAAAATTAACCCTCAAAAAATTTCATGCCAAATTTCTGAACCTTAATTTCCGAGATACAGTGGCACTACTGCGAATATTTAGATTGTTTGAATACCCAAAAAAATCCTTAGTAAATTCAATCCTCCCAAAAAATACATCCCAATCCTACCCCAAAAAATCCTGGAATCAAAAATTACAAACCCAGACAAATCCATTGATAATCCCTGTCAATTGAAATCTGGAGTACCCCCCGCCCCCCCACCCCCCAACCTGGGAGTGCACTCAGAAGGACTGGATTTGTTATTGCCATGAAGGTGACCTAGACATGATCCATAAAGACAATGTACTGTAAAGAAGAGCTCCCAAAAACTCTGTGGGACAGAATCAGAGGACTCTTAGGCGACAGTTCTTCATCATTATTTTTGCATATTTCCATTTTTGGTGGTGACCGGTCAGTGATCAGTTTGTTAACTGTTGGCAAAATTTAGCTGACAGTCAGCCAAGATATATTCTGGGCAGCAATTCTTAAATCATTCCTTAATTTTCTTTGCGGTAATTTGTACATTACTTGTTTTACTTTGGGTTCTTCTGTGCTTGTCTATTCACGCGACTCAAGACTTGTACATTTTTTTTTTATTGCGCTGCATGAAATATGCTTGCATCTCTAGTGAAAGCCAGGCTTTAATTATAACCAGGGTGTGTTTAGAAACATGGCAGGCATTATTGAGTGAACACTACATGCTGAAAATGTCTTCTATTGTTCAGGACTCAATTGACTTGTTTCTTGGAAACTACGTTGTTGATACCAATGAAGGGATATCCAAGCCGTCGCCTCTGGAAAGTCACAGAGATTGGAGGTTTATGGCTGTAAGTTTATTTTCAGTTTTGTGTTGCAGTTTATATTTTTTTTGCAATCATAAATGTTTTGTATTGAATTTTGACATTCCTTTCTATTATTATTTTTTTCAATTCTTAATTTAAAGGGAGTTTAAAATCTTTTATTAATTTTAAGCAATAGACCACTTAACCCTTTAAGCCCCAATGTCCACACATAAATTCTCCAAACTGATCTCCATACATCTTTAAAGAATTAGTTGAGAGAGTTTGTTAACAGATCAAAGCATTTTCTCTTCAGTGATCACTTTATTAACTCTCATAACCATTTCTTTTGGCAACATATGGATATAGTTAGGAGAAAATTGATGTTGGTCACTATTGGGACTTAAAGGGTTAAAAGAGGAATACCTGAAGTCAAGTTCACCAGAAATAGAATATTAACCTGTTATAAACTAAAACATTTAAACAAGAAATATTTTAAGTCAGATTTATACATTCATCAGACTTCATTTACATACATTTGTGGATTTTGCCAGCTTTGTGGAATTTACAAAATGAAAAACAAAATTAGAAAAAGACATGCATCTGCTCTTTTCTTGAGTATTTTCCTTTTGAAATTAATTTTGTAAAATATAACAAAAAGGTTTATGTTATTAAAATTTTGTTCCATTTCGCCGCACTTGTGCTTATGCTTGCATTGATGAGAAACGCTGTCCTTAAGAAACAAGTTAATAGACCCTCGCTTGGTTTTTCAACTTTTGTTAATCATCGGTAAGGCAAAATCCATTGACACCGCTGTAAAGAGGGCCCTAAAATTAGCAAACTTGCCAAGTTTGAAAGTGACACGTCTTAAACAAGTGAAGAAAAACCTCTGCAAAGTTGCAAAAATTTACAGAAGTTTGTATGGTGGGGGGCAAGTTTCTACCCCCCACCATACAAACATCTGGCAAGTCGGCACCTCATTGATTTTTTTTTCCGTTACCTTTTAGCTTCCAATGATTCTGTTACTAGGATTCTCAATGTTTGTGATCAGTGTTTTAATTCCATCAAGTGAGTACTTTTTAAGTGATGACATTATTACTAAAATACATATATATTGAGGAGTTTAGAGTCAGGTTGATCATTGACCTTACAGGCATTTTGAGCAAGTTTTAAGAAAGTTCCAATTAAGCCAGAGGTTTCAGTCTGAAACAAGCACAAATTCGTAGTAAATCTATACATTCAGAGATCATTAGTAATCAAGGGCAACAAATTCATGACTTTTCCAAGTCAGTACAGGTTTCAAATGCCCCATAGTATTCCACACTGTAAAAGCATCTCTATACAAATTTACATATCCACAATGTGAGAGAGGGTCAAAAAGCTCAGTATAATTTTACTGCCTACCCATTAAAAAAAGTATGTTCAACCCCTTACCCTGGTAGTTCATCATATATGTTGGATAGCACTATCCACTTTTCACATCTCTATCCAGAGGATACATTTTTAGGGAATCTATGTAACTGCATTATCCACTGGATAGAAACTTATTCAGTGAATGACCTTATCCACCATTTGAACAAATGAGGGCCAGTTCTCCCTCCCTCCACCCTATACAAAGTTCAAACTCGTAAAAAATAATGGATACACATGTTCAACGTTGTTTGTGGGGTGAGGGGAGGGGTTGGGCATGCATGAATTTGAAAATGCCCTAGAAATGCAAAAGTGCCCGAAGAGTTTTTTCCATGATTGTAGACTGCAAGAACAGATGATTCAAGTTTTTTTGCAAACATTTAAGACCCAGTCAAACAGCTAACAGCTAATTGGGTCTAGTGGCAGGCCATCGCAAGAAAAAAGCATACCGTAAATCCAGATGAGGCGAGTGCCTCATCTTGCGTAATGCTTGCAAGCCCATAGTGAACATGTAAATGCAAATAATTAAGTGGTTTGTATTTTTAACCAAATGACTGCAGCAATCAACTCCAATGAATCTTTATTCCTTTTGTTTGCAGCTGATTATGGTGTGCAGTTTCTTTATGTATTGTTTTGGGGTGCAGCTGTCATGGTCACTCTCTATGTAGTATTGTACTTTGGTAATGAGTATGTCGACCACCCAAGACTTGTACATGTCCAGGCAAAAGATAAAAATGTCTGACTAGAAAATCAATCCAAGTTCTATAGTTGGGTGTAAATGATAATATTGTTGGGATACCTGTGCAGTAAAGGACAATATTATACTGGGTCGAGCCATCATGAACCTCTCATCAGCACAATTTGAAAACATCCCAGTTATTTTCATGCCATTGGCTATTCGTATGGGACCCATACACTAACTTGTGTATGCTATTCATACAGGATTCTTTTGAAAATATTGATTAGGTTCAAGCCCTGAGAATAGTGATTAGGGTTAAACACTGACTGGAATCGAAATGGTTGGGTTCATTTTGGGTTAGGGTTGTTGCTATGCAGTTGCAAATAAACCCTTCATCAGCAGCGAACCCTCAGTGATCTGGTGGTTTAGGTAGACTTCAGATCCTACGCCCTGGGTTCGAGTCTCACTCCTACTGTAATATATAATAACAAATTCTAATTTTTTTACTGTTAAAATGAAAGAGACTTACTCTTTTATGAACATTTGTTGAGCAGAAATTTTAAGAGGCTTATTAAGACAATAGAATACATTACTGCTGACAACAGAAGGAAACCAACCAGTAAATACAGCCAAAAACTGACATCTGTAGAAAGAATCCCGTATGCATAGCAAGTACAAGTCAGTTTAGGGGTACCGTATGAATAGCCACTGTGTATTATAATTGTTTCATTCATCTATTGTTCAGACAATCGTTCTGAGAGCTTCATGGCTCTCCAAACTATAAATAATGTTATTTTACATTAATTTTGTTTGAGAATGCATTCATCTCACCCAAAATCCTTAAATCCTTTTTTTTATGCAAAACATGTGTAATGTAAACAAAAAATAAATATAATGAATAAAAATAAAATAGCCTTGGCCAGCAAACTTTAGTGTCGTCATGTGAGGAGGATGAGGCACTGTCGCATAACAACAAAAAACGACAGCAAGGGAGACTCGATTGGTTGTGCCTGCCAAATACAAAACATGATCAGTATAAAGATTAAATATCAAAAATTAAATTGTTGTCAGAAACATGATATGTATGTTCTTCATATTAATTTTAACATTTTATTCATAAAGTCAGTGTAGAATTTTACGTATTAATTTAGTGACATGCAATGAGTCAGAACATTACAGCACTCAGATAATTCTAGGAACCTTTAAAGGGGTTATGTCACAAGGATACTGTTATATGTACAGTTCATCTTTCATCTGTTCATGTAATTACTCAGTTTTTCTATCATTTGCTATTGAAAAGAATGGTCCGCTGATATTGTGGATCAGATTTAATTTTTATTGTATTCTTGCCCAGTGAATATTTATTAACTTATTTTACATTTTATGATTACCCTAATTCATTGTGGGAGCTTGAGCTCTTTATGTTGTTCAGGCAGGAATGTCCAGAATTTAAGACTTTTGAGATGTAATCAAGGTTCATACAGAGTCTGGAAAAAGTAGTCTGGAAAAATGATAAAAATTAGTCTTGAGTTTTTTTCAATGCTACAACAAGTGCTTTTATGAGTGAAATTTTTTTCATTTTGGTCAAATGTTATTCAATCTCACCCATACATTTGCAGCGCATCATGAAAAAAGTCCTGTTCCTGTGATTTTTAAGGTCTCTTTTGATCACCTATTTGATAACCTTGAGTCTGGAAAAATAAATTCATGTTTTGGAAAAAATTAAGTCTGGAAAAAGTCTTGAATTTTGGATCCAAAAATCCTGTGTAATGTACGATCCTTATAATAAGTCACCAAAAAGTGTTACGATCACACATAATAGTTAACCAAAATACAATAGTTCTCTTTAAAAATATGAATACAAGAAAATTAATAAAATAGCAAAAAAAAACTCAGTCAAATATGAAGTACTTAAAACACTTCATCCATTTAATCGTGGTGTGTGTTTCGTAAATTTTTTAGACCCCAAAAGCTGTTTTTTTTTCTTTTTAAACTAAGATCAGGGTATCAGTAATGGTGAATAGTTTTGCAGATAATATTGTAGACCAATGCTTTTACATTGTAGTCTTTAGATTTTAATTTCAATATTTGGCTTTGGGTCTTTCAAAAATCGGGCATCAGGGTACAAATGTCTTCAGTAGAATTCTATTGCAGTGCACTGCTGAATCATTATTTATGTTTAATGAAAGAGATGAAATAAAATAATGAAAAACAAAAGATAAATATGGACTAACATTGTTCACTATATTTTGTATTCAACGGTCTGTTCCATTTACACCACATATTCATTGTTTAATTGAAGAACAGCTCCCCAAAAAATCCGTCGGCCAACTGTTGGTGGACAGTTGGTTGACAAGCAGCCAACAGTCAGCTGACAGTCAGCCGACAAACGGCCAACAGTTGTGCTATTGTAACTTGACTGTACTGGTGCATAGTCGAGAACATAGGCTAAGGTGTTTCTTCCTCATGGAAAAGGGTACTGCTACACATGTATAGCCTGTACAGATATGCCAGGCACTAGCCTTTTAGTGTAAGTGAAGATTATTGCCAGATATGAACTTCTATTCAAATATCACCAAAATTCAGCAAGAAGTGCACACTGCCAAAGTCTTCAGTGGCAGTGTCAGCTATGGACAGCTGATCTCAATCGTCCTAGCTACAGCAGAGTATCCCTCAGTAGTGTGTTAATATATGTAGTTGAAGGACATCCTCTTTTTGCCATATCATGTGTAGGCACCCATGTTATCAGCTGTAGCACTGGAGAGCTCTCACCACTATAAATATATCCAACAGCAATTCTTCCAGGGGCATAGCCAGCCCATGGACCTGTGGGCCCAGGCCTACAAATTCCTTGTTTGAGCACTCTACCGCTTGTAATAAATTATGCGTTGTTGGAGTGAGCTAAAAAGCTTAACAGCTCAAAGTGTTGGTGAGGTCAGTGTGTACTAGTCATGCATGCAATTTTCAGGATATGTGGAAATGAAAGTCAGCCAGGCCCACAACATCCCTGACTTCTGTCTTGAATGGTAAAGGTCACCTTTCTAAACTACCATTAAGCTCGCTATTTTTAACCTTGTCCTTCCAAGCTATGTTTTTCACCATTCACCGCATTCTTGTATAAGTTCCATTCAGACCCTTTTCTTCGGCTTTTGTCAAGGACAAAGTGATACTCATGTGAAGGAAAGTTATCTCCATAGTTCCTCTGAATAACTTGAGTTTGATCTTTTCTGCAGAATCACTCTTCCAGATGTTCTGCATTTTGTCTAGTGATCGCCAGGCCCAGTGATTTTGTTACAAATAGTTATGGTGAGTCCTGGGACTCTTGTGAAAAGCCATGAGTCCCAGTCCAGGACCATTGAGTCCTAGTTAAAAAAAAAAAAAACAAGGAGTCCCTGGGTCTTTTGTAACCACACAGTTAATCTGAAGACAGACTCCAAAACTCTGAATTACAGTTTACTGAATTTATAAATATACTCCTTCTATTGTAAAGCACAACAAAGACTAAAAGAAATAAGATTCATTTAACAAAGGCCACAAGAACAGCCACAGAAATCACAAATGTTATTGTACAAAAACATCTTCAGATCGATCAATCGATCTTTACATCCTACAGGATGCCTACCACAATAATTTTGCATCTTTGGGGATTTTTATGTGTCAGGGACCCGGGACGCAGAGGTAACAAAATCCCTGCAGGCCAGTGCTTTGCAAACATTTATGTCTCTTTCCTTAGAACATATTCAGCTGCCCAGGGGCCAATTTAATGAAACTTTTTTACAAGTTTAATTTACAACTGTAGCTATTGTTTTCAGACTTTCAAAATTACATTTGTAAAAGTTTTAATAAATTGGCCCCAGGTATTTGAAATCTTACTCCCTGCCTCTTCCCCAATGGCTTGCTTGATTTTCTTAACATTGTTTCCATTTCATCATTCATGAACAATTAGCTATGGACAATTTTATTGTCATATGTATATTTATAAACATGTATTTTTTACTACTCTATCATATAAAAGATATATAAAAAAAAACAACAAGTTCCCAGCATCATAGCAATAAAATGGCCATTGGTTTCTGTCTTGCTAACTTCAGATTTCAGCTTTTGAAAGTCAATCTTGTTTCCTTTCCATAGAAGTATTACAAAGTGACCAGAAGAGTCTTGTTGCTGTTGTTGTTGTTTTTCCTTAAATAAAAGAAACTTACTTAAGTTGCAACTTAACTTCACGGCTGGGAATTGGACGTTTCCTATCAGTTACTAAGCTACCTAAAACAATTTGTTTTTAGTTAACAGTAATAACATGCAAACTTTGTTTAGTCAAGACAAAAACTTTTCCATTTGAGGCTTGAAGCCCCAGGATTTCATTATCAGAAGTTGTCAGTGTCACTACATGTTGGCTGGCATGCTTAGCTCCTTGTTCAGGTTGTCGGTAAATGTACACGTGCCTGGTACAATCACACAGTGTTGCAAAGGACATATCTGGAGCACAAGTAGAGAACTTTCGATCACGTTTAGCTGCCTGTACGTAACCAAGCGCATTAAATGTTCCAGTGTGCACCCAGTTGTCCTCATTGCTGGAGTGAGACTTGGGTTGCCAGAGAAGAGCATCAACATCATGGCGTATACAGAAAGCTGGAGGAAGGTTTGGGTCTAGTGAGGCATTGAATATCCACTGGTGAATTGCTAGGCAAACCTAATGTGAAATAAAGTTTGAAAAAATATTAGAGATGCAAACCTTTAATACCTTTGAAGCTGGCAACATTTCAATAAACATTACATTGCTATCCATGATAATAACCCTCCAAGTTGCGACCATTTTGGTTGCCATGGCACCTAAAATTTTGGAGCTGGAGACTTGATAATTTGTAAAAAAGTCTCCCTAAACCAAGAGTTGGTTGCTAAATAGCGACTAAGCAAAAACTTTAACTTGGAGGGTTGGACAATAATAATAATAATAATAATAATAATAATAATAATAATTGGAAAAAGTTGGAAAATATCAGGAATTGACGAGAGAAATTAGAGAAATGTGGGGTGTGAAAAACATGGACATGGTACCTGTTGTTGTAGGGGTCCTTGGAAATGTTACGAAGAAACTTGGACAATGGTTAAAAAACTGGGGATCAGGGTTAGGATCAGACTGCTACAGAAAACTATGCTTTTAGGAACAGCCAGGATGCTGAGGAGGGTGCTTGACTTCAAAGTACCAGGAGAGTGTCCTTAAGGGACCCGTGGTCATTGACTACAACTAGCTCCCTTGGAATGTACGTTGGCATGAGAACAGCCAGAGCTCAGAACTAAATAGACAATAGTAATGATAGTAATGGTTATTGTTATTATTATTACTATTATTATTATATCAGAGATTAAAGTTTATTGCCTTACTTTATGAGTTACTTCTCCAGTCTTAACGTCCAGTCTGAATATGTACTCGACATCCTCTGGAAAAGCATCACATTCTTCCAACTGTTGATCTGTAAAAGACATCTTGTTCTCTCGTGAATCCTCCACCTAAAGTTTGATCAAGCAAAAAATTGATCTTTTATTATGTCTCAGATATTCCATTTAGGGTAATTGTAATGTTATACATATCTCAGTTTTGTTCACCAAATTCAGCTACACACTTCATGACTCAATTTGAAACAACACCCTTGTCTGTACCCCTAACTTTGTTGTTTTTGTTTCCCTGCTGCCCTTCTTCAATGTGCTAAATTGCCTGGTTTCAAACTGAAGGGGACTACCTGCAAGCAACAAAAAAAAATTTACCGTCTCCGAACAGATTTTTTGCAGAAAACAGTCATTGGGTGCCCCCGATATAATTATTGATAAATTTTCATTATTGACTAGCCTGAATTTCATCAGATTACTTTGAGTCGTTATTACTCCCTCAGTAACGTCTAAATTGACCGGCCGTTAATGCCGTCCAGTGACATCACTACTCCTTGACCTTTGCTTTAATTCATGCAAAAAGTAAGACACGATTTTTAAGTGACAAACCGAGAAATCTCGTTTGGAAATGTCTGCATGATACAGAACTGCTTTATTTTTTTGATCGTAATTCATGTTTAATGTTCAAACTATCAACAGCATGCAGTACAACTCTGAACCGGTTGTCCTAAATTCTATAATCAAACTCAGTCACAATCACGCAATGAAATAAACACACACACGGAACACTTAGTTCAAAAACACAATGATTTGCTTTAATTGAAAAGAAGCTATTTGGTCCTTAACAAAGAAAAAAACAAGGAGACAAGAAAGAATAGCTAACAGAATCATTACACTTGACGGTAAAAATAGCAAGAAGGTCGAATTATAACACTGATCTCAGACAACTTCGCATAAACAAAGTCACCGGCCACCGAAACCACAAAGCGGCTCTAAATGAAAAACCTACTGACTCTCCGCAATGATTCTTCATTCGCAGTTCAATTTAGCATTTCAGTTTCGAAGACAAGGGCAATTTTGCTGTTTAAGATAAAGATTAAGGTATCATCCACCCTTAAGCACCCTCTCCGCGTTGATCGGCGCTAGCGCTTTTGCTTTTACTAAATACCCCCATAAACCGTACATTTTCTGAAAGCTTAATAGTTCCAGATTATTGCTTATTCCTTTTAAAAAATCAAAATATTAACGCGATTCAGAAATGAGAAGCTTTTTGTGAAAGTGGGTGTCGCTGTAAATTTAAGTCCAGGCCAGCCAAAAATAAACAGAAGAAGCCAATTAAGATCGCATTCGCTTCTTAACACGTTTGACTAAAAAACCGTGCCTCAGATTTTTGTTAAGTGGTTTTGTTCTTTTGTTATAAGCAGTTGAAGTTATGGATAGCAAATCATTAGCACTACCTGTGAAAAAAATACTCTTACTTGAAAACGAAAAAAGAAATCAAAATTCGCAGACACGGTTTTTTAGAAAAACTATCTGACAGTAAGCTGGCCAAATTTCAGCCAAATTGGTTCACGGGTTGCCGACTTGGAGTTTAAAACGTACCCTCAACTTGCTCTGATTTTCATCTCGAGAAAACAGGGGAAAAAGATTTTTGGTGGCGTAGATGCCCGTGATGAGATTATAACAGATTATAACACCAAAGCTGTCAATGTTGATGCATACCAGAAAAGGGACAACAATAGTGACACAGCAGGAAAAGGTTACAAACGAAACCCAACAACAGATGAACAATTTATTTTGAACGCTCTGCTCTGTTTGATCGTTCTGTTGTCGAGAAAGCATCTTTAGTTATTTGCGACGGGCAGTTTTCATTTTGAGCCAAGCCAACTTTTACTCGATACATTTTCTAAAAGTTTGACACTTCCCTGGAAAAATCAACAACAAACCGCTTCCTGAAGTTTTTCTTGAAGCTGCTCTCCCACTACAATAGACTTTCAAAAAAGTCCTTCGTCCGATTTTTATATGGGGCGGGACCGGTCGCGAATTTGTTGCTTGCTTGGCCGCTTCGCGACCTAAAAAGCTCGCTCCGCTCGCTAAGAAACTCATGAAAATCAATTTCGTGGTAGTTTCAATGGGTTTTTCAGAAGCTTTGTCATCTTTTAGCCATTTTTCTTGATTGTAGTAGGAGCCCATGTCACTCTCTGCTAATTGTGAAACCCACACTTTGCAAAACGATTTTGTCGTCTTCTTTCAACTAGGAGTCAAGGACGAGAACGGACAAGCTCTTTTTTCTTCTTTGGAGGCATTCACTTCCAAAATCCAGAAAAAGACTGTAAGCACTATACTTGTAGACCACGATTTCTGTCAAATTGTGTGATTAGCTATGACAGGACTTGTCAACGATCAATTAAAATAATTAGCATAGAAAAAACTTTTGCGCTCCATAAGTCTGCACAGAAAAAACATTTTTTTCTGGAATTCTTTTTAAAAGAAAGCTCTTGATGAGCTCTACTTAATCATCTAAAAATTGAAAATTTCGAAAAATGATGCGTTTTTACCCTGGATGATACCTTAAGCTAAACAAAAGAATACCAGGGATGCAATCCGCTGAATACCAAGCGACAATCCTGCTAAAATTGTTCATAATTATATATAATTATGCAAATGTTTAGACAATCAACCAATCAAAATCACTACCCCGTTTACGGGTAGTGACTGACATCACTGGACGGCATTAACGGCCGGTCGATTCAGACGTTGTTGAGAGGAGAAAACGAATCAAAGCAATTGGATGAATTTCAGGCTAATTATTGACCCAATTATTACCAAACTTGAGTATTTTGTAAAGCTTGGTGTCACTAGCTCTTTCTGCTATGTGGGTCTCATGTTGGTAATCCCAGCCACTCTCAGTTTGAAAACAGCCAATACTATTAGTTACCAGTTTATCAGATGTAAGGTGCTCCAGCCGGCTGTGAATCTCTTTCACCCTCTCTGCTTCTTCTCCAATCAGCACATACTCTCCTCTGTCATCACCCTTAACAACACTGCTCCAGTGATGCTCCCCAGCTTGTTTCACAAGGACTACCTCCAAACTAATAGCAGCACAAAAAAGGTTGTGACTAAAATCTCACAAAATCCAAAGGGTCAGTAAAAGAGAAACATTCAACACTGTATAGGCTACTTAATGATCAGGGGATTCAAGAAACTAATGGTTTCAAAACTGAAAAGAATGCTACAGTGAGACACACCTTTTTGAAATACAGTGTCAAGCTTACCTAAAACACCAAAGGTAATACACTGACTGAAAAGTTGTTACAAACATACACACTCTCAAAGTGCAAAGCTATATTAAGCTCATACAGTAAAAAGACAAAGAAATAATGTCAAAAGCCCCTAGTACCTGTTCTTGTCCAAAGTCCATGTGCTTTCCTCGGATTTCACCTTTGCAAATAGCATACCACTTAACAAGATATCTTCACCTATCCGAATACTCATGGAATCAGTCTTTATTTCACAGACTATTGATTCTTTTGTAGTCCCATCAGGGACTTCAAATTTCAGGGTTACGTCTTCATTATCCTGTGACCACTTGTATGCCTGGATCCTTGAATTGTTTTCCTTATTATTTGCTTTCTCTTCAACGTCTTGAGCTGGAGGCAGTTCTTCATAAGCTGAAAGATTTTGAAAAGATGATACACTTTCCTTACTAAAGAGTCCAAAAATTTTCACAAAATCTTATTTGTGAACTGATTAAGTCCATGAAGTAAGCGTTTTCAAGGAGTACACCTTTGTCCATCCCTTGAGGAAATTCCAGATACTAACCCTACCGCCCCCCCCCCACCCTTAATGACTTCAGAATTCCAGTCATAAGTATCTCCATGCTTCCAAATTTCCAGTTTAAGGAACACCCGATAGTCCTGGAAATTCTGAAAAGAAAGCTGTTAGCAGTATGGTATGGAAATTTTTTAGAATCACCTAATCTGATTCACAGTAAGGCTACAGCAATAAGGCAAGTAGAATTTAGGTAGGGGCAAGGAAAAATTCAAAGTGACTAGCCCAGTGGGCAAGTTGTTTTAGAGTATTTTTCTGCTCCGAATAATACAAACGTCTGACAATACCTTTTACGAGGGAGAAAGGCTTTTCACTAGCCACCAAGATGGCAGTACAACCAGGCTCAATAGCAGCATACATGGGTGCAGTGTAACCTGTGAAATGTTGTATCTCCTCACAGATGTAATTGATGGACCCTGATGACAAACACTTCACTTGAGAGAATGTAATCAACTCCAAATGAACAACATGGGTATCTTTGACTGAGGTGGAAGCATCATTGTCAGTGATACTCAATAGCAAACAGCTTACAGATCCTGTTTCTTTACAATGAATGGTGTGAAGGATAAGTGATGGACGATTGAATTGATACACCATTGCTACTTTCCAAGACACATTCTGAGAGTCTTCCTTTGTTCTGCCATCTGTTTGAAGCAAGAACAGCTTCCCACACCCATCTGATAAGCAAGCTAGGGAGGGTGATGGAAAAAACAGTGTTGTGTTCAAGCTTCCTTTAACTTTCTCCGTAGTTGGAATTTTGAATACTGTATCCACAGATGAAATCTCTTTGTCCTACACAAAATTGAGGATACAAGAGAATACCCTCTAGTGAATCAATATTATTACAAATCAATCATTTCAGGACAAGAGCAGTGAGAACAGGGAACTTTATCCCTTGGGTATAGATCAGTTCACACCTCTTGCAGAGTGCAGGATGGGTAATCAGGGAAAGATGGTAGGGACTTCAAAGCTAAGTAACTCCTCATCAAATATTTTTCCACTTTCGAGCAGAGGTTTCTCTCTTGCACAGTGTTTAGGGTGTCTGAAAGCATTTGCGTCGCTTCTCAGTCATGTTATTGGTTTGTAAAATGATGGATTACTGACTGGGTGATCTAAGGTCCCATTTCTATGGAGAAAAGTTGTTACAGGTAGACAGGTCACATACCTACCAGGGGTTCTTATCATTTGACAGAAAAAACCGGTTGGGGTGTTGAAAGCATAATGGTAAGCGATTTACTAGTTTACTGTAGATATGCCACATCCATTACGGTTTGAATCCAAAAAAGGGCGAATTTGGGTAGCGTGAGTCTGGAAGCAGGAAGGAACCGAGAAATTGGTTAATGATAAACAACATTCCGTTTGGTGCGTACCAACCGGAATGAAAGGACTACCTCAAAACGTACTCCTCAATTTTCGGTTGTAATTTCCGAAAAGTGACCTTACCATTTACCTTCCATCCAGAATTTCCAAAATTTTCTGTCAAATGGTAAGCACCCCAGAGCTACCGTGGCCGAGCCAACTTTTGATACATTTCCTTACAAAAAGAACGAGTTGGCTTGGCTAGTAGGGTGACACACCTGGTCAGGTCATTCTTTTGTGATGGTGAAGGTCACCCTCCTAACCAAGCCAACTTTTCTCCTTTGGCTCCCCCAGTCAGGTTAACTCAGTTAAAGCGATCAAGGCAATCATAGCATGAGCAACCACATATGTTAGCACTTGGGGAAAAAAGGTCACCTTTTTTCTGATACAAACGATCGGTGAAGTTGACTAGGCTGGGAGGGTGGCCCTTCCCATCTACCAGGGACGATTTCCTCCATACAAACGAGGCCTTAAACAAACAAATTATAAGAACAGCACGTGCACTGATTCAGGTGCACATCATATTTCACAAATATACGGTATGATACCTTAACTTTTAAGGGTATTCTTTTTTTGTAAACAATACCAAACAAAACCTTACTTTGACCGCGGCTCTTTGCACTTCATAATTTTCATTCACAAAATAAACAGCCTCATTTTTCCCGCCATCAGTCCATGAATCAAACACCAAGTGATTCAAATTTCCAAAGGCTCGCATGTGCTGAAATGAAATCAAAAGTTCGTCTCCTATGGGTACCTCAGTTACTGCAGACGGCAAGGTTGTAGAAGAGACATTCAAAGCGTCAATAGAAAGTTTGTAGCCTTCAAAACTAGGATTTAAAAGGGTTCGATCAGGGCGAAGCGACTCCATTTTTCTTCAATCCACTAGGTACCAGGACCATCACGAACCTCTCGGACGCGCCAGTTCCAGTCTTCCAGACGAAAACAAATGAGAGACAACTTAGAGTTTGGTATTAAAACTACGTTGATCGAAGACGGTATTTCTGATATCTCGTAAAGAATTTCGTATCACAATTCCCCACCAATAAATTGGGCAAAACAACTGCCTTAAGCCAGGTAGTGTCCGCCTCGACCTTGACTGATTAGATGTGGGTCAATTATCCTCAATGAATAATAGATAGGAAGACTCTTTTAAGAGTCTTCCTGTCTATTATTAGAACTTTATTTTTAGCTGGTAGTTAAACACGGAAACCTGCCCGTTACAATAGCAAGACCAGTGACGGGACTGAAACCAAATCGGTTGGGAATTGGATGCCTTCTGTACGCAAATTTTTGTTGGCTGGAACATTTGGGAAAAATGATATGTCCTTGGAAGGAACGTGTTGCTGGGAAAGAGACAGTGCAGGGTGTTTAAGGGGATTTGTTGTCTAGAGCACCTGCTATGTGGTATTTATTCGCCCTATGACCAGACCCAAACTGGCCAGTAATGTCTGGACATACGTCTGCTGGGAAACTTCCTAGTAAGTCAGGTTGCAGGTTGTAGGTACTCCTTGCGGGCTAAGAACTCTTCCATCAGTCTTGATGGGAGTGAGGAACAGATAAATTTTTCCAAGCAATCTCCCAAAATGCTTAAAATGGCTAAAGAAAGCTTTGTTACTATACTCATGCTTTATTGTTGTTTTTCGGTCTTTTTCTCAAAATTCTCAAAAACTGTAGCAGAAATCATTAAAAAGTGTAAGTTAAAGACAAACTCTGGTAATGATGAGTAGTAAGGACTAACAATTAAGAACGAAAAGCGGATCCCGGTCGAGCAATGCAATACAATCAACTCAGTCGACTCTCTCTTAACGGACACCTGGTCCCTGCCTTTCTTTACTCCCTTTATTTGACTCTCTATGGTCTCTATAAGACGTTGCCTGCGTGCAGACGTCTCCTATTTCCTTTGTTGCACACGTGCAACAAAGGAAATAGGAGACGCTGCACGCAGGCAATATAAGACGGACATCTCTCTAAGACGGAACTTATATTAGCGTCTGTGCCAAAGGTGTCGGCATGTTATATATTCTTAGAGAGTCTTATTTGCTAAATAGGATGGGCCGCAAAAAAGTAGTTTATTAGTTGGAGTCTCGTGGGGCTCTCCCACGGCCTTTATATGTGGCCCACTCTGGTATGTACCAATGAACAGGGTATATCGTTCTCAGGGCCTTGAGGACTAGAGCTGAAATTGTTACTCACGGCTGGGCACCCAAGGGGAAGTTTGGGTGAGGTATTATGATCCTGACATGTTTCAGTATGCAAACGTAATAAAGTAGTTTCGCAGGCTAACCGTTCATGAAATGAGTTTTTCAGCAAAAATTGTTGGTTCTACAAATTTCAAGAACGCTTATCGCCAACCTTCATACTCCCTTTTAAAGGATTCCGGTCCAAAAAGACACCCTGTTCAAGGCGCTAAATAGTAAAGTCGTGTACTTATTTTTTAAAGACTCAAGGAGGTAGGTCTGAGGGTCAATAGGCCTTCGAGGAACTGGGAGCAGGGACGGGCAATATTTTTTGTAAAGATAACAGAAATTGTCAAATTCTGTTCCAAGTCATTTCAACTCCCTCAACTCGTTCTTTGCATCGATCCTCTTGGACCTCAAAATCTAGGAGTGTTTCAAAGGACGCGCCTTTTACGGTGCGATTATTTTCTAGAGGTTGTTCATTTTTACGAATTAAGATTTTTAAAACATGGACGAAAACGAAAATGATAATCGCCAGGGTTAAGTTTCATTACATTTGAACAGGCCCTTGTGACAGTTCTACGCTTTTCGCAAATGCTAGCCTGCAGGCAGGCTCACGTACTTGTGCCAAATCGGCAGGAAAAATTTATTTCAAAAATTTTCACGAATTGTTTACCAAAATGTTTACAATAAACCGCTTATATCAAATTACATTCAAATATATCTTTTCTTTTCAAAAGAACGAGATCGCATGTTTGGTCGGTTAAAGTTATTCGCGGACCTTGATTGGCTTTTGGTCGTAGAGCTTTGTCTTCCGGACAAAGGTTGTCAGGTGTTGCGTTATGCCTATTCATCTCCACTAACCACCAATAAACAATCAACAAAATCCAACGCTTTTTATACAAGACGTCACCTCCATTGACCGTAAAAGGAAATAAGCCTATTGTTTCCCTGAAATTATCGCATAAATTATTTCATGCCATAAAAACCGCGCCGTCTCTACGAACGACCATACCACAAACTCAAGACAGCAGGGAAAGTAGCATTTTTATCTGTTCGCTAAAAATTTGTCAAAATGCGCGAAATCGTACATCTTCAGGCCGGACAGTGCGGAAACCAGATCGGCGCCAAGGTATGGTGTACCTCCATCATAAATATGTGTGATTTTTGGTTCGAAACACTCACATTTCGCAATCTTCGTCTTTCAGTTCTGGGAAGTAATCTCCGACGAGCATGGCATCGATCCAACTGGAACATACCACGGTGATTCCGACCTTCAGTTGGAAAGAATCAACGTGTACTACAATGAAGCTACAGGTATTGCTTGTTGCCCGTTAAAACACTTTATTTCGCGTGTTCTTGTTGCATTTCGTGCATTGTCTTCCATCTGAAAGTTGCTTCAAGCCACCATTACCGAAAGCTTATTGTTGTCGACTCGACAAATTTTTCAGGTGGAAAATATGTACCAAGAGCAGTTCTTGTCGATTTGGAACCCGGTACAATGGATTCCGTCCGATCCGGACCATTTGGACAGATCTTTAGGCCCGACAACTTCGTTTTCGGTAAGTACGACGTGTCAAAATTTTAAAATCAAAATTATGTTGAAACGTCCGGCAACACCCCAACTATCGCGCTGATGAGTTGACGCATGTGCCGCCTCTTTTCACTCTAGGTCAGAGTGGTGCTGGAAACAACTGGGCGAAAGGACATTACACTGAAGGAGCTGAATTGGTAGATTCTGTGCTTGATGTAGTTCGTAAAGAAGCAGAGAGCTGCGATTGCCTTCAAGGCTTTCAGCTCACGCACTCTCTTGGCGGTGGAACCGGCTCTGGTATGGGAACGCTTCTTATTTCGAAGATCAGAGAAGAATATCCCGACAGAATCATGAACACATTCAGCGTTGTACCGTCACCAAAAGTATCGGACACCGTTGTAGAGCCTTACAACGCTACACTGTCGGTCCATCAGTTGGTCGAAAACACTGATGAAACATACTGCATCGACAATGAAGCTCTATACGATATCTGCTTTAGAACCCTGAAGCTCACTACACCAACTTATGGCGACTTGAACCATCTCGTGTCAGCCACGATGAGCGGTGTTACAACTTGTCTTCGTTTCCCTGGACAGGTAATTTTTATTTCGAGAATTTTAGGGGAGAACAAAAGATGATATTTGCAACAGTTATGAGGGACAAACGTGTTGGTGGTTAACGGTTAAGAATAATGGCGCGCAAAATACGTTGTCAATCATCGGAGGCCTGTCGCGCGTGTATGATTGCAACTGTGGTATTTCATGATCAAGCTTAAAAAATTGATTTCGGTGTTTTTGGAAAGTTTCTGCCTTCAATAGTGTGACCCGAGCAAATTATCTTTGCATGGGGCGGGGGATATACAAATATATTTGAATTTCCCTTGCCACAGAAAATGGTTTGTCGCTAGCAAAGCTTTGATTGATGAAGGCGAACCATCTAAATTAAGTGCCGTAGTCAATAATTATACACTTCTCCTTCAAGTGGAAGGCGATTTTCTATCAAACACCCTTGAAACTACTGCTAGGGAGAATTAAGGTTTTTTTTTTCCGATTCTGGCGACGCGAGAAAAACATCAAAATACGTTAGCTCGCTATTATCAATCCTTCAGTTATTTTTTTTAATAGACAGTCTACGTTTGCACGAAAAGAAACGTTGCGCGTTGTTGCCTTTCGTTAAGCTCAGAGGTATAGATTAGCAGTTGTGAGGCGTTAACCTTTATTGGGTGAAATGAATTGAAAGAGAAAGCAACACTTCATCTTATGAAGATTGCTTTCAATTATTAATACGTGTGACCAGCTAGCTTTAAATGTAAATTCGTGTCTTCCAGAATGTTGATCGAAGATCGGAAGTAGACGATGCGTGAAATTTACATTTCGGCAACTTCAATACGAGGGAGCTTTGTTTAATTGAAAAACAGTTGGTTTTCTCGACAAGAATTTCTGAAAAGCGTACTCTTTCTTATCAAATCACTCGTAAAAGAAGTGCGGTTGCGAATTCTCAAACCCCCGCCGTGATCATAACGAATCAAAATTATGCAGTGAGCTGTAAACATTCCATTTGTTAACATGACAACGGATTTTCTGCAGACACAATTAACACATTGTCCAAAATTTTTTTGTCGGCAAAATAATGAAAAATTCTTCTTGCTTGCAGTTCCTTACTTATCTTTGTTGTTTGAGAGTTACGGTAATAAATTTTTTTCCCTTGTCGGTTTTCTGAGATTATCTTCGTTTTTTTTTAAGCAACAAGCCCTTTAACTTGAAGAACAGTGGTTTAAATCAGCAGGATGGCTAGAAAGATAAACTAATTTTATATTTTCATTGCTGTTAACATCACTTTATCCATAAACAACCATGTGAAACTCAACGGGGCATCAGTTAAATGCACTAATCTCTTTAAATTGATTTAAAGATCTAATGGAATTGAAAGCCAAAACACAACAATGTGAAAATTTCCCATAACAGTGCAATTACTGTGTATTTTCTGAGCATTTACATTATCGCACTGACATGAAAAGCTCTTTTCAATGTTTACTTTCTATGAGCCTTTAAAGTTATATAATGTCCTTGATTGTACACTTTGTTTGGAGTTGTGTGTGTATACCTCTCTAAGTCGACAAATCTATATGGCAACATCTTATTAGACTTAAACTCTATCTTTGTTTTTTCTTACAGCTGAACGCTGACCTCAGGAAACTAGCCGTAAACATGGTTCCTTTCCCTCGTCTTCATTTCTTCATGCCTGGATTTGCCCCCCTCACCAGCAGAGGATCCCAGCAGTATCGTGCACTAACAGTACCAGAACTTACCCAGCAGATGTTTGATGCCAAGAACATGATGGCTGCATGTGATCCAAGGCATGGTCGTTATCTGACTGTTGCAGCCATGTTCCGTGGCCGTATGTCCATGAAGGAAGTAGATGAACAGATGTTGAACGTTCAGAACAAGAACAGTTCCTACTTTGTTGAGTGGATCCCCAACAACGTGAAGACAGCTGTTTGTGACATCCCGCCCCGTGGTCTGAAGATGTCTTCCACCTTCGTTGGCAACAGCACTGCCATCCAGGAACTATTCAAGCGCATCAGTGAGCAGTTCACTGCTATGTTCAGGCGTAAGGCTTTCTTGCATTGGTACACTGGTGAAGGCATGGATGAAATGGAATTCACTGAGGTGAGCACCTTTTCCTTAATATTAAACCATCCAGAAACTGTTGTGATTAGCTAAGAAAAACTTACTTCTTTGAACAGTACTTTTGACAAAGATAAGCTAATATGATTATAAATTGCTTTTAACTGATTGGTTTTTTGTGCCTCTGTTTGTAGGCTGAATCCAACATGAACGATCTTGTGTCTGAGTACCAACAATACCAGGATGCAACAGCTGAAGAGGAAGGAGAGTTTGATGAGGAAGAAGAAGAGGAGGGTGAAGCTGCATAAAGTCTAGATCTTCAAGGCTCTTGAAACAAAATAATAAATTGCAGGATAACTGATAATGAAGTTTCTTGATTCACTCCAAACTGTGTCGTAATAAATTCATTAGATACTAAAACTTGAGTTAGTAAGTAAACAGTTACTTTTTTTCTCGAAAAGAAAATGAAAAAAGTGTGATAGAAACAATCTGACAGTCTACCCTTTTTTTCACACCATGGAATGATATTAAAATTTATCAGTAATAAAGACAGATTCCTGTAAGAATAAATGTGTCTGAACGTGTCAAAATGGTGTCTAGTTTACTTACCTCCCCCACTGTACGTAGAAAGGATTCTTGTACTGATCGGACAGCTATGCCTTTGCAAGCAATAAGTCTTTTGCTTCTATACTTAACAGTGTTACTATTATAATTTTAGATACCCTTGTTACTTGGCTAATCTGATATTGGTCAGCGGGGAAAATCAGATGAACTGATCAGTGTTCCCTAGTAGTTTAACCATCCCCATCCGCCAAGAGGAAGAGAATCGTGTAACAACTTTTTGATCATTTATATGAAACGATAGTGGCTAGAATGGATACCCCAGAGTCGTTAGACACCATCATGTACATAATGCAATGCAATAAACTTAGAAGAGAACCGTTTGACTTGGAAATGTCAAAATCATTGAGAGCCAATGTGCTCCATTGGGGTAGAGCCTAGATTTTATAGATCTTTATATTGTGCAAGGGAAAGGGTCGATTCTAAGGTGTAGAACCGAAGTACGGTAATTACTGTAGTCGTCAATGGCGACGCAATATATGGGCGATGTGCCAACCTTATCCCCAGGGTCCTCCCGTTTGAAAACTCTAGGGACGAGGTTGCTTATGAGCCAGAAAGGACGGCCATACGTCTGGACACAATAGCGCAAACTCTTCTTACAGTACTTGTACTCGAGTCGCCAGGTAGGACCGGACTGAAGCCCCTGCTGGTGTGAATTTCCCACGAAACTGAAGTCTCGACGATTACCATTGATGGAGCGACCACCTTTGAGATTAAAGCGACGATCCCATTGCGATTTGAATCAAGTTTGACAACATTACTCGCGGAAACCTGTCAAAAAGTGTGCTACGCGTTTAGAGTTTTTGTTTTGCTCATTTTCTCGTTTCCCTCGTCGTCATTGTAGTTGCGCTGAGCTCGTTAGTAGCGTTACCACACGCGCAACGATTTCGCCTGAAAAACTGACGATTGTGAGGGAAAACGCGCGACGAAAGCGACTTTAGAGGACACTCATTCAGAGGCTCAACCTATATGAAACACATTTGTCTGAGCCTCACCGGTGTCGACTGAGTAAAACTTTACAAGCGCAGCTATTGTCTCATGCTCTTAGGGTCTGAAGGCAATTGTGACACTTGTAAAAGTTTTATAAAAGGACTCCTAAATAAGATGAGACAGCATTTCCAAAAATTCTTGTTATCGTCGTTAACACTCAGGCGTGTCACATTCGCAGTCAACGGGCCGTTGGGTGCCCCCTTCGCGAATTTCGTTCAAAAACGAGCTACTTATTCCACCTTTACTTACATACCTAAAATGTTTGTTCTCCTGTAGGCTTAAGTTGGTGTCTGAAGAAACTGGTATTGCAGCTTGTAAGAGAAAAATTTGGCTGAACAAATTTTTGACTTGGCGTTTCAGTCTGGCTACCGAAGTTGATGCAACTAAATTTGGCCAGCGTAAACCGAGATTCGAAAGCTTCCAGCGCAAGGCCCGAGATCGCAGCGATTCACAAAAGCTGTTCACCCTCATTAATTAAGGGCTAACACTCGAAACGTTGGCTTTTGATAATTTCTTGACCGCTGCCGATTTCAACTCAGTTGATAGAACAAAACTTCCTAAAAAATTCTCTAACGTTACTCGCTACGTGCAGGATAGTAATTCGGCGAGTCATCAGAAGACTCAAGAGGGCCAATGTTGTCAATTACAAACATTATCACTTGCATTACCGTTCTCTTGCTCATTTTTATCAACGCTTCCTATTTTTTACGTGTCAAAACTGTTAAGTTCGTGCTCAATATCAAGAACAGATGTCAGCTAGTTAATAATTCTTCTAATGAATATTAAATGAGCAGATAAAAACTGTCCTGAGAACTTCAGTTGAAGTCATAGGAAACTGTCATGAAACCATTTATGTTTGTGTGGAGATTTAAGGAACAAAATATACACGGCACGTAAAGACGTCACGTGGTACAGACTGACGTTAGCCGTACTCTCTCTTCGTTTTCTACGAATATCCCACGTCCCTATTTCCTAACTAAATACTTAGTTCATATTCCATTGATCATTGGTGTACTATAAGAATAGTCGGTGAAAAGATAAAAAGCTGTGAATAAAAAGCATATATTATGTCTATTATCGCGATGCAAAAAATAGCCCGTGCCTTTTTCGCACTTTTTTTTCGATCCGTTCTCCCCACTATCTTAACCTGAGATCAGGCTCTATTTTCGTTTTAGCGGTAGCCGTTACAGAGAATGTATGAGAACACCTGATCTCAGGTTACACTATCATGGAGCCTGGAACAGGCTATGCAAATTTTGGGCGTTTCGAGAAGTTCGAGAAGTCTCCGGAAGAAAAGGCTATGATTGGTTACTGATTTGACGTCGTCTTGGTTACACTAAATACGTCACAATGAGTTGACGCGTGTAAAAATCAAAACGAAAGTTGTTCAGTTGAAGTTGCTGCGGGAGACTTTTTCTAAATTTTTGCCAAGTAAACGTAGAAAAATGCGTGAAATTGTTCATCTTCAAGCTGGCCAATGCGGCAACCAAATTGGGGCTAAGGTAAGAGGCTATCAGTTAAGTTCAATGTAGGATCTCACGAAGTATTAAACGTATTTCCATTCATTTCAGTTCTGGGAAGTTATCTCGGACGAGCATGGCATCGATCCGACTGGCACATATCACGGAGATTCCGACCTTCAATTGGAAAGAATAAACGTCTATTACAATGAAGCTACCGGTAAATTGTCTTTCTCTTTGTACACGTTAAATGTACCTTCCTATTGTACGTCTGAAAGAAATCTTTTTCCCTGCCCATTTGCTTGTTTTTCTCTAACTTTCAGGCGGCAAATACGTTCCAAGAGCGGTTCTTGTCGATCTTGAGCCCGGGACAATGGATTCTGTTCGCTCGGGGCCATTTGGACAAATTTTCCGACCCGACAATTTTGTTTTCGGTAAGTAATAGTGCGGTCTCTTCACTTAATTATTTGACGCGGGGAGTGTTGAGTATGAAAAATTTATTAGCTCAGAAAACCAGTTTTGCTCTCCATTTTGCCGCAGCACCAGTATTTTGCGGTCATATAAAGTTACAGTTGCTTTTGCCCATTCAGTACGTAAACATTTCAACAAAACATAAGCTCATTTCAAAGACGCTATACGGTCAAGAAAAAATGACTTAACTGAATTGAAGTCTTTTGTCAAAGTGCTTTTCCTCATATTATACTGACATCATCCAAAATATCTTTCAAACTTCTATGGGAAAAAGTGGCGGGAAATTGGCGCTTACCATTATTTGTTATGATGCCACAGACATATCTTTGACAGGTATTCCCACCGCAATCTAATATCCCTGACTCCTTCCACTTTTTTCATCTTTATCAGTAGCTCTTTCTACAGAGGGTCTTGGGTTCTTTTTAATAGAAGAAATATAGAAACTATCAGCTCATACAGTTGACACTGAGTCGGGTGTTAATTTACTATACCAGCCTGTTCTGTGTTAAGAATATAGGTGTGGTCTCTTTCATAATAAACTTGTTGTTATTTTAAAAAATGATTCCCCGACTGCAAGCAAGCATGCTCCTCTAAATTTTTCCTTTTTAAATAACTTTTTCATTTTTATTTTTTTATTTTTTCCGCTTCTCCTAGAAGTGACTTGTGTAAGATTTTGAGTTTAACTTGAAACGGGGGCTCACAATGCGACATCTCTGTTCGTCAATTACATTTCCTATAAAATCAGTAGTTTCTTGTATGTGGGAATATCCTTCGAGTTGAAAGCATAAGGATCAATAAAGCATAAACCTGAACTCCGAATGTATCATTTCTTGATTTGAAAGCTGTGTCGAGAAAAAAATCCTTGAAGAAAGCAGGGCGAGGCTTTTCTTGAGGAAAATATCTTTTTGGAAACCCTCAAGACACTTTTACTGTAATTAAAACTTTTGGAACACTATAGCCTGTGCCAGGCTCTCAGATATTAGTAAAATCCAACAAGTGGTCTATTATCAATGCTGTGTTCTGGATGGCTGAGCTACTACTAGGCTATATGTTATAGCCCACTAGTAGCAAAAAGCGCCGGCTTTGAAAACCAAAACAATGACGGCTGAATCGCGTTTTACTAGCTAAAGTTGTTTTGTCTCGATATTTTTTACCAACTAGTTGGATTTTACTGAAACAATTATTCCTCTCGCCCTCATGGCCTCTGAGTTAATAGCCCATTCGGCCGTCGGCCTCATGAGCTATTGGCCCAGAGCCCATTTGGGCTCAAGGAATAATTGTTAAGTAGACCTCATGGCAGGAACGTCGCGAAAACAAGGTCAAGGGAAAATAAGCCAAAATAGGACGCGCGTGATCTTGGAAGGGGCGGCGCCTTCTCTCTCACCAGTCCCCGCACGTTTTTCGTATCAGTTTTAACGATCTTTGCACATTACTATCTTGAAGCGTGGAACAGTCTCTGCAGCCAATAAGTGTGAAAAATGTTCGCAAAACTGAAACTATCGCCTATTTGTTTTTTTCCGTAACATTAATGATATGGAGGAGAATTCTTGAGTAACAGCACTTATATAACTTATATTCATCAGGTCAAAGCGGTGCTGGAAACAACTGGGCAAAAGGACACTATACTGAAGGAGCTGAATTGGTAGATTCTGTGCTTGATGTAGTTCGTAAAGAAGCAGAGAGCTGCGATTGCCTTCAAGGCTTTCAGCTCACGCACTCTCTTGGCGGTGGAACCGGCTCTGGTATGGGAACGCTTCTTATTTCGAAGATCAGAGAAGAATATCCCGACAGAATCATGAACACATTCAGCGTTGTACCATCACCAAAAGTATCGGACACCGTTGTAGAGCCTTACAACGCTACACTGTCGGTCCATCAGTTGGTCGAAAACACTGATGAAACATACTGCATCGATAATGAAGCTCTGTATGATATCTGCTTCAGAACCCTGAAGCTCACTACACCAACTTATGGAGACTTGAACCATCTCGTGTCAGCCACGATGAGCGGTGTTACAACTTGTCTTCGTTTCCCTGGACAGGTAATAAAATGTTATTTTACAACTATGATAAAGAAAAAACGAAACAAATAGCACTGACCAATTGGTTCACTTGTTGAACTCAGTGCATCCTATTTAAAAGGGAAGGGCAAATGAACGCCTATTTCCCTCCTGCAAGGTTGTCATTAACGCCTAAATACCTCTTTTGTTTAGCTGAATGCTGACCTCAGGAAACTAGCTGTGAACATGGTTCCTTTCCCTCGTCTTCACTTTTTCATGCCTGGATTTGCCCCCCTCACCAGCAGAGGATCCCAGCAGTATCGTGCACTAACAGTACCAGAACTTACCCAGCAGATGTTTGATGCTAAGAACATGATGGCTGCATGTGATCCAAGGCATGGTCGTTATCTGACTGTTGCAGCCATGTTCCGTGGCCGTATGTCCATGAAGGAAGTAGATGAACAGATGTTGAACGTTCAGAACAAGAACAGCTCCTATTTTGTTGAGTGGATTCCCAACAACGTGAAGACAGCTGTTTGTGACATCCCACCCCGTGGTCTGAAGATGTCTGCTACCTTTGTTGGCAATAGCACCGCCATCCAGGAACTATTCAAGCGCATCAGTGAGCAGTTCACTGCTATGTTCAGGCGCAAGGCTTTCTTGCATTGGTACACTGGTGAAGGCATGGATGAAATGGAATTCACTGAGGTAAGGACTGCTGACGCTATGCGGCTTTTCAGTATGGTTCTCACCGCTACTTGGTTAACTGTAAGACTAAGGACTGATTCATGCCATATTCCAACTGCAGAGCCTCACTCGCTGTTACCTAGGTTAGACTATACTTACCTTAGGCAGTTCCCCAAAAAGGTATATTAATAAATGTATTTTATCCCTGTGCTCGTAGTCTTAGAGATAGCGCTTCCTTTAAAGCGATTTTCGTATGTCCTTGAAATGAAAAAGCGCGAAGAAAACAGAAACAATGAACGAACGGAAATAGTGCGATTTGATTGGTTCAATGAACGGATACAAACGCACGTGGCTGTTGTTTGGTTAAGCGAACGCCCGGGTAAAGAAAAATTCATACCCGAGAACTTTCTAGAAATCAACCGATACTTTGCTTTGATGTCATACCGCAACATGATTGGTCAGTCGAACAGTCCCTTCTCCAAATCAGGGTCCTCTTTGGCGGGAAAACGAAGAGGCCATGTTTTGTTCTTTTCGTCCACTGGCTGATAAAACGAATAGCGAACACTTACGAAACCATTTTTCAAGGTCATACGAAAATCGCTCTTGTTTGTTTGTTTGTTTGTTTGTTTGTTTTAGCCAGTTCCAGGCGTTCACGGTTGGCATGGAGAGGAGCGAAAAACAAACATATGGAACTGAAAAAAGGGCCGTTCTCGTCTTCGAGCCGTTCATTCTAACTAAACGCCTGAAACGGGATAGTTTGTTTAAGGAAGGTTATCTAAGAGAAGTTCATTTTAGAAATTACTAAAGCCGTTGACTAATTAATTCTTTACACAGGCTGAATCTAACATGAATGATCTTGTGTCTGAGTATCAACAATACCAGGATGCTACAGCTGAAGAGGAAGGAGAGTTTGATGAGGAAGAAGAAGAAGGAGAAGCTGCCTAAGGCTCCCTCAGTTTTTTTGCTTAAACCTTTTTGAAAATGTATCTATTTGACCTGAATATGTTTAATAAAAACTTGCTTTTCCTTTTCACGTATACTGGCTTATAAATTTTGGAAAACGCGGTGTAATCATGTCGGGACCTTTTCCGTCAGCCTTCTGCATACTCTGCTTGTTGCTAACAACTTTCCGCGGCTTAATGACCTTCCCTAGAATGCAGATAACGCACATTTGCGCTCAGAGAAAAATACCTGGTATGTAATGCTACCTTTTTGCAACGACAAAGTTGAACGTGAAAAACGCCGAGATCCTCAGGTATGATAGCAAAACTTATGATTACAGTTAGGCAGGTTTCAAATCGAAGGGGACACATGAAACCTGGTATAAGAAGAATATGGACTTTGTCACTCACTCATTCCATGGATAATAGAAAGACTGGCAGTCTTTCTACTATCCATGCTCATTCCACACAAACTTTTACTCCCTTACTCCCTCGCCATGCCGAACGTTGGCGTAAACGCATTTTGCTGCTTTTTACTAGTCTGTCTACTGGTTTTCATTTTACACTGTTGTAAGAATTTATTAAAGTATACATGCACAAACAGCTGGACAGCTGCAACCAGAGGTATACACGAGATAAATTTTACAGCGAAAACATTATCTCACCGCCGCTATGAAAATTTTCAGGTTTTTCTTCCAACTAAATTGGTCTCCGTTGCTTTTTATCTCCGTTGACTAGCTCTTTCCCTGTTTTCCACGTTAATATAGACACTACATTTTAGTCGAAAGAGAGACACAGCTGGACGATTTTGTAAGGATCCAAATTTCCTTGGATGCATTTTCTGACCTAAGGTGCTCCGAAGCTGAACAGACAGGTTTTTACAAACTACAACTCCACAGCGTAAAAGGAAGATGCTTCTGCTAGAGTGAGCAAATGCAAAGATCATAAACGCTCTGGAGAGGAGCATCAATTTTAGAAAAATTTGATGGAGCGCCTTTCTCAGCTCGTAAAGAAATTGTCTGAAAGGCACGGTCCATAGTGCATAATGGTTGTGTCAGAAAGCAAAAAAAGCATCACCTTCCATTTTTGTTCCTTTAAAAGAATGGGCTGGTTGAAAGTGCCAAAAAACGCATGAACGCAAATCAACCAACTCCTTAAAAAGAAACCGAAGTTTTATTTTGCAAAGGCCTTACTTGCCAAAAGTCTCTTTGGTGAAAGACTGGCATTTTTGGTTGATAAGATTTCATTTGGCCAGCTTTACTGGCCCTAGGCGCCTTGTCAAAAACGATATTGATGAAAATTCTTGGGGCGTTATTGCCAATAACTCAATTCCTAAAAAAAAAGCCTCTGCAAAGAGAATAGACCCTGCAAATGCGAAGTTGATTTCCATTTTTTAATTTTCAGCAATTTTTGATTCAAAATTCCTTTATTTCTAGCATAAACATCCTTTGAAACGATGGCAATGCTGGTTCCAGCAGGCTATTTTAAAATAAACAAATTAACTGAGAATACAGGCCTGCTGAGAATATGTATGTGGTTTTTGCGAGGTGCCAACGACCAGCTGCCGGAAGCGCTTTTGGCGCGAAAACGAGGTTATTGAAAACTTCGACAACTTTACCGGTTTCTGGTTCCTGTTTTGGTTCATGCAAGCTTTTTGAAAGGATCCACAGTAATGCTATGAATTATTGATGTTTTTGCTCGAGTCGCAGATTTATTATAACAGAGTGGACAGCACACCGCTTGGCGCAAGAGAAATTATGTCGGGCTGTGCAATGGAACAAGACAACAACTCCCTTTGGTCGCCTGTGTGATGCGGGAAATTATAAATGTACAAGTCGGACAATGCGGAAACCAAATTGGTTATAAGGTGCTTTAACAATTTACCACTTTAAATCCCCACTTGCGTGTAGCTACAAAAACATTACTGAGTGAGATAATTTCTTTGTTTGCCGTTCAATTTACACGTAGCGGGAACTGTGATTTTAAATTTCCATTATTGTTGTGGTAGTTTTGGGAAATTCTTTGCGCGGAACATGGAATAGACGAGGAGGGGAGCTACAATGGAAGTTGTAACTCGCAGTTGGAGAAAATCAATGTTTACTTCGCCGAGGGTGCTGGTAGGTAATGCCAGAGAACAGCAGTAGTTGTTTATAATATCTGAAAACCGCTCTTAATTCTAACTGTGAAGCTTAATGTTGAGACTGCAGTAAAACTGCGTTTAATTGGAGTGTTATAATGTTTTTGCTGGCTGCAGGCAATAGATATGTACCGCGTTCGGTCCTTGTCGACTTGGAGTCAGGCACGATGGATTCACTTCGTTCCGCGCCGTTTGGGAAGGTCTTTCGACCTGACAATTTTATTTTTGGTAAGTCCGTAGTGTGGCTGGTACGGTCATGTAAATAACGAATATATTTAAGAACAGCTTAAGTGCCTCTGCTTTCACGTGTATAAGCTATTTAAATTTATACACTCTAATGACTTTGAAACTCTATTTTGGGAAATGGGTGCAGTTTCAAGACTTTTCGATCACTTTTACGAAGTTTTTAGAACTTTATCAGTTATATATCGTAAAATTGTTTGTTATCTTTTAGACTGCCTAAGTGTCTCAGATTCCAAGGAACGTTTTTTTGGTAGATAAACAATGAATTATTAAATTGTTTTTTTTTTTCTCAAGACTGTTTTTGTTTCCGGTAATTTCTGTTTTACTCAGTTACACTGAGTCACTTTCTTGGGTTCTCGACTTTTCCCTCAATGCTCATCATATCCGGCGTCACTAAAGCGTGTTCATCTTTTCTTTTGAAACTTTCATCAGAGAAAACGTTGCAGTCAAAATTGCCAATAGGTATTATCCTCTTCTTGAGCTCCATTTTAATGACGAAATAAAAATTTCATAGACAGAAGAATGAATGCTTGACCCAGCTTTCAGAATGTAGCTCATTCAGCAATTTTGCATTGTGCCTAGTGTGGCGTGTCACCCGAAGCTTTCAAAACAGAAATTTCTAGTACGTGCAAAATGGAATATAAAATTTAAACTCTTGCATATAGTGACTATGCGGAATTTGCCAAATATTTCTTAATATATTGCACCACAGAAAAGTCATGCCCGAAAGCGTGTATTTCATCTTTCACACAGTGGGAACTCATCCAAAGAGCAAAACATACAACAACCTTTTTAATTGCTTTGCTCGACTTCTCACTGCCGGCTGAACTTCCAAAGAGAATATCTTTTCATACGACAGTAACATTTCCTGCTGGCATACTTTTTCCTTTTGAATGCCGACGCGTATACTGACGTCTTAATAAATATTAAAATGCATTCTTGTATAAGTTTGTTTAAGGTGCGTCCTCCCCTAATGAATTAAGCCTGTAATACAATTTCGTCAACCGTGAAGGAGTCTAATGGTTAAAGCCTTTAAACAACGTAACAAAGAAAAGATAAATGTCTTGTAATTGAGTGGTTGCTTTGGTAAATTGAATAACGTTTGTTTAAAGGGCGGCCTGTCTATGATTAAAACTCCCACGAGAACGCTATTTTTCTCTACCCCCTACGTGTACCAGGGATTCGGGAAAAAAGCATGATTTCAACGAGTCGCACTCCTTCTTGGATAGCAAAACCACTACATATTTGTATTAGTACAGGTTTAAAAGCCAGGCCAAGGACTTTGTGATTCTGAAAGTTTGAAATTTGGACAGCTGGATACCTGGCCAAAGTTTTATTTTAAAACTCTCTGCTGCAGCGTAAGCTCAAGATCGAGAACAAAGGTGACGGGATGAAGGGCAATAAACTGATGACTCGAAAAGGGAGAGCAATCCTGCCGGCGCGGAAGGCGTTTAAGGCGTTTGAACGGAAAGGAAGAATCATGCTAAGGGACACGCCTTAATTTTCTCTTTCCCTTCCTCTTCGCCACCACTCAGGCTAAGAGAGAGAGAGAGAGTTTTTAAATCATCTCTCCCTATATCTCGTTTATTCAAGTACCTACTCGCTCAAATGGTCAAATAATACAAGGAGTTCGAGTTCGAGGCAAAGCAAGGCAGGAAACTGCAAAGAGCGGAAACACTTGCGCAACCAATATGCGCAACCTACAAGTAAATCACGTGTCACAATCCATCTCATCCCCAGTGCTTTCTCCTCTTTAACACTACTATTCTTTCGTTTAAACGTTACTTCACTCCTTAGCTTCATTGACGAATGTCGTATTTGAATACCAACGGTTCCATTGTTGGTGTTTTATTAACTGCAGATCGCTGAATTGTTACCAAAGATTCCGTAGCTAGCATTCACAGTTTCATTCGATACAACCAAAGGTACGTTTTAGGAGAAATTCAGTCGTACTTCAGACTGATTTTTATTTTCCTATTCTCCTAGGCGAATGCGGCGCGGGAAACAACTGGGCCAAAGGCTTTTACACAAATGGATGTAATCTACTTGAACAAGTTATGGACGCAGTTAGGAAAGAAGCTGAGGGATGCGACTCGATCCAGGGCTTTCAGTTGGCGCACTCACTGGGCGGTGGCACTGGGTCTGGGCTCGGAACTTTGATACTGTATTACTTAAGAGAGGAGTTTCCAGATCGGATTCTAAGCGCCGCCAGCGTATTTCCGTCTCCGAAAGTTTCCGAGATTGTCATTGAGCCTTACAATGCAACTCTGGCTGTTCATCAGTTGATAGAAACTACAGATGAAGTGTTCTCTTTCGACAATGAAGCGCTGTATGATATCTGTTTTAGAACGCTTAGACTTGATACCACAACATATTCGGATTTGAATCATGTAATATCGACCACTTTAAGCGGTGTCACTACTTGTCTCCGTTTTCCTGGACAGGTGAGTTAGTCCTGATCATACAACTTACTTAGCCTGAAAGTTTCTTTAAGCGCGGTAACGGCAAAATTTTCCCGCAAATAAAGTTTCACAGGTTAAATTACCCTCAGTGGGTGCAGAAATTATGAGTTTTTGCCTGTCCAAGATGAATTTTTAAAAAAACTGAAAAAACAGTATAGGAAAGCATTTTAAGCAAAGAAAAAAATAGTAAGCCGGTAGAGAAAAGCTAAAAAAGGTGTGAATGCCTTCATACTAATTTGCTTAGACTTCCTGCAGGCAATTTTTTCAAAACAAAAGGCTACGTTCTCCCCGATTTGCGATATCCGAAACCCGTTACTGCTCAGTCATGGAGAAAACTATGAACAACATAAACCCGGGCAAAAGCGGTTAGGGAGAAGGGGAAATTGGGAAAACTGAGCGTACCTCTGAAAAATTTCGAGCTACGCACCTGACACGACTAAAGGTCTCGCTACCTGCGGGGAGAATGACTGAATGAAATGAAATGTGAAACGAAATGTTTCTTTTTTCAGTTAAACGCAGACTTGCGTAAGCTTGCTGTCAACATGATTCCTTATCCACGGCTTCACTTCTTTATGCCGGGCTTTGCACCGCTGACCAGTAGGCGGTCACAAACATTTCGTACTCTCACAGTACAGGAGTTAACTCAGCAAATTTTTGACGCCAGAAATGTCATGATTGCTTGTAACCCCAGAAATGGCAAGTACCTGACTTACGCTGCAATGTTTCGCGGTCAGAAATTATCAATGAAGGAAGTAGAAGATCAAATGGCGAGAGTCCAGGACAAAAACTCGGGACATTTCGTTGAATGGATCCCGCACAATGCCAAAGTTGCAGTTTGCAATGTACCACCGCATGGAATGAAAATGTCGGCTACATTCATTGCTAACAACACAGCCATACAAGAACTGTTTAAACGGCTTAACCTCCAGTTTAGGGTCATGTACAGGAGAAGAGCTTTTCTTCACTGGTTCACTGAAGAGGGAATGGACGTACAACAGTTTACACAGGTAAGGGCTTATATTTATTTTTGCTGATCTACACATACAACACTTAGAAGCCTTAGCGCGAAACACCTCCTCAGTCCCTAGCTAGTGGGGCGAAAGTCTTGTGGCTGCAAGAGAATTTGGAACGTTTGACATTTTTGTTTCTTTTGCTTTTTTACTTTTGTTTTTGCGCCGGGCGAGTAAATAAACCGCAACAACAAAGGAATTTTTAATAACACAACCAACAACTCTGCACGTACTTCACACTTTTCAGTTCACTTTTTTGCCGTCACTGTAAGACTACGACGTAAAACTCCATTATTCCACTTTATCATGATTATGTAGACGACCACGTATTTTTATATCTCTAGTAAACTAGGGTGTGGTCCCCGAAAAACTAATCCAGAGAAATTTTCATCCGTTTGACATTTTATGCGAGCTTGAATTATCGCTACAAAGTTTGAAAAAACGCGAAGTTGTCTTATAACTGAAAATTTCGTCGCCGTTGCCGTTACTGAAGCTCTTTAACAAAAGCGTGATCTTAAGCGCAAGCAGTAACACATCTGCCTTTCCTTGTTTAAATTTGGCGCCAAAAGAAGAAGCACTACGGCGACCGCGTCCTGTGTGTGCACCTTCGCGACTGACAAGACTAGCAATCATTTCCAAGTGCGGAATCCGTGGATTAAGTGGCAGTTGATTTCGATTTTCGCCGAAATTTATAATTCTTGCCAAACGTTTCTGTTTGAGCAAGGCAGAAGAGGTTCACTTTTCTAGTTTCCTCCCATCGCCCCTATTGTCGACCTTACGCTTGCTACCCGCTCTTGAGTGAAACCAGGAGCACCCAACGTCAATTTCATTAATATCTGTTCGTTTGAGATCTAGAATTTTCGTTTTTTTGTAAAATTTCTTGCTTGCCTACTTCTCCTATTTGCTAAAAATTGTTCTTGCCCATTTT